GTGTAAACAGAGAAGGCCTCGATGAAACGTATTGGCGGTCACGAACCCGCCCTTGCGTATCAAGGTGTGCCGGTACGCCGACCGGAGGGCACTGCATCGGCGTTGGAAAGGCCGTGCCTTTGAAACGACTGCTTCCGTGTGGTTGCACCTAACGCTCACGCTTTTTAACGAACTTCATAAACCGTAAATGATATTGACGTTATGGTAATGTGCAAAACATGCTGCGTGAATATTTTTTTGGTTTAACATTCTGACGACAATATTGCACGTCTCACTTCATGCATAATGTGATATAGGACGCAATTCAGCTCAGCGGCCAAAACATATTATGGTGGCTAGAGATAAAGATAAAGATAAAATATGAGACCAATATAAGAGGACTTTTCCTCCGCATTCAGACAACTCTGAAATTCGATTGCAGATCGACAATACCACAACTACTAAATGAAAAAGAATAAGAATGCAGCTGATAGCGAGATAGCAATTCTATTAGTTAACAGAATCTTACACCATGCTAACCTTCATTTGGAGGAAGTTCATCAAGAAAAAAAAAGGATGAAAAAATTGGCAAATTCAATGTATAGCTTGAGAATCGAAGTTATGCGAAGCATATTGAGAGAAGGTGACTGTGTAGTAATTTTTATTGAGCGGAACGTAACAAAATAACGCAAAAAATAGGTATCATACAGTAGCATATGTTTCATATAACCAGTTGTTCACGGTTGCGTAATGAAGCCAACAACAACATGTATATTAGCAACGCCAGAAGTGATCGGCTGAACTTTAGTGCTTGTACTCGCAGGGTGGCAGCCGTAGATGCTGGTACGTAGATAAACACCAGTAGATGGCGCTTAACAACTACTGACGTTGACCCTATATGAAGGATGTATTGCACCAGTACATATATAATGTCAATGAAATGGGCATAGCCAGCACTGATACTACAATCGGAGTTTCACGAACGTTACGCCTACATAGGCCCTGTTTGCAAAGCAGTTCCGAGACTTGGCGTGGCTTTTTGGTAAAAAATACTTCACTGCCACGCAGGACTGCTTGGGTTCGATTTCTACCAGAACCCTGACACTTATTCCTTCCATTCGTCGGGTCAACTCTGTAGATGTCAGCTTTTTTTTAACGCTCACGCACTGAAATCACCCATGTCTTACTCACCATTCTTGGGTATACATATAAACTGTCAAACACCTGGGGCACATAGACGCATACCTGTGGCCCGTGCTACTCGGGTATGTGCCCCACTATCTATCTATAGATAGATAGATAGATAGATAGATAGATAGATAGATAGATAGATAGATAGATAGATAGATAGATAGATAGATAGATAGATAGATAGATAGATAGATAGATACGCAAAAGTACCTGCAGTACGCAAAAAATGTTTCGCATTTATTATATGGCTTGGTCGGACAACAGTGACTGAGACATGTAGTATTTGGTGCAAAGCAAATGTCTAAAAACTATTTTTATTTTTTTTACAGTAGAGCCGCTTTACCGAAGCTTTGCCGTGTGTCGTGCCTGAAAAAAATCACAACATACCATGGTGTGAATAATGGGGAGTGGGGTGAAGCGTCTATCAGCCCGTCCGCGCTTCCATCCGTCCGTTCATTCTTGCTTTCGTCCGTTCGTGCGTCCATCCGTGCGTCTGTTCGTTTGTCCGTGCGTCCATCCGTGAGTCCATCCGTTCATCTGTGCATCCATCCATCCATTCGTGCGTCCGTCCATTCCTCAGTGCGCACGTACGTCCATGCGTACGTCCATCTGCTTGTCTGTCTGTCCATCCATGCGTCCGTCCATCTAGTGAACACTCCAAGCACCGCCATCTCGCATCTTTTCATCGCGATTGTAGTCGCCCGACGGTCTCTTTCCTTCCTGTGTGGCACATACCCACCTATCCCCTGGGGCATATACCCGCTCTCTCGGGTATGGGCACCGGAGGTTACGCACAATGACAAGGCGGGATGCACAAGCCATGCCTTAAGAAGCTCTGCCGTCGTCATCATGAATTGACATGCACTTTCTTCAATCATCTTCACTATAGTCTTCATCGTTCTCATCTGCTTCGCTCCGCTAACACGTGCGGTGGTTTCTCCGGCGTAGGATGCAATAACCTGATGGCCGAAAGAATGAGTTCAGAAAGAGAAGGGGAGAGAGGGCGCAAAAGTAAGAGACGCGCTAATTACACACGTGCCCTTCCGTCTTCGTGAACTATTCATACTCATTAGTTTCTAATTGCTGTGCAAGCTAGTGACTGCCTCATAGGCGTGCGCACGAGGGTGGCATGGAGTGGAATGGGTGATTACCCGGTCCCACTCTTCTGACGGGGTGCGAAGCGCGCTATGTACATTGACACAGTCGTACATATGACATTGCCTAAAGTAAAAGCTCTCCAAGGTGGCGATACGGGCACTTTGATAGAAGAAGGGTAAAACTCCGTGCGTGTGGTTGTGTGTTCTTTCTTTGTGTTGCTGTATCTAGTGGGCTATTACCATTCTTATAATAGAGTTCAAGTGGCCGTGCAAAATTTGGGCATTAGTCATGGCCCAGGACCACTGATGGGGCATTCAGAAAGCTGTTTGCTTCCCATTTTTACCGCTGGAATTCCGGAGATCAAAGGCAGGTAGTTCTGAGAAGCACTTCAACACTTCGCTTTGAGTTTTGCCTCCGCTAAGAAGCTTCTTTCCTTTGAACAGAGAGAGGGAGGAAGACAAAATTTAGCCACCCCAAATGCGGAACTCTGCGCGAGCCCATGCTGTGTACCACGATACATCTATGCAAAAAAAAAAAATATATATGCATCAGGTACACCACCCACATTGCCCGTAGATAATACTCATGGAAATAAAGTTTCTTTATGTAGTTACTATGTTGTAGTTTGTCCAACTTTGTTTCTGTTTGCGACATTCGATTCTTTTTAATGGACATGTTCAAAGAATACCATAACAGCGCAAAAGAAAATGTCCGAAATGATTAATGATATGCCTTGGTTATAACGGGAATGAAAGGGCTCATTGGCTATACTGCTGATCGAGAACATCACGACTAGAAAACTACTGTTGCCCGTGTGATGCTATATGGACGTTCTCACCCAGACACTACTGAAAACCGATTTCTGTGGGAACAGTTTTATGCTTCCCTGAATATTCGCTAAAGAGCTCCAGGTTTTTGAGACAGATTTTGAGCCTTGCCTTATAGTCACCTTTCCTTCTTCTCTTGCTTTTTTACTCATAGTTAACTTTTTTTTTTAACATTTCCGATCTACCAGCCTTTATCCGCTTACCTTTCCCCTCATCATAGGATAGGCAGTCGGTCGAAGAACTTGCTATTCTCCCGTTTGGATATGTGGCGTTAAGCCGCTGTAGAGGAACTAGATTTCGCCGATATAGTTAAAAGAGGCTTTTATTTACCCTGCAGAGGCCATGAAAATACTAGCCTGTCTGATACTAGCCAATCTTCCCCGTTTCTTTTTTCGTGTTCGCTGTCGCTTCCTCTTCATAATTGGTGGTCCGCCAGGGCTCGCGACGGTATCAACACTCTGTTTTTCCTTCATTCCCGCTTGCACAATGAGTCAGTCACGGTGGAAAAGTGATTATGGAGCTTTGCTGCTTACCCACGGGTCACCTCTTTGATCCAGGCCGCAGCGGTGGCATTTCGATAGAGGCAAAGTTTTTAAGGCCTGTGTACATTCAAATTGAATGCCTCGATGTTGGCGCACATTAAAGAACACCGGATGGTGGAATATTTCGGAGCCCTGCACTAATGCATCTCTCCTAGTTATATCATGGCTTCGGAACGTGAACCCTGAAATATTACTACTAAAGAGGTTCAGTGTCAGGCAGCACAGACTCGCACAGAGGAACCTCATTGATTGATATGTGGGGTTTAACGTCCCAAAACCACCATATGATTATGAGAGACGCCGTAGTGGAGGGCTCCGGAAATTTCGACCACCTGAGGTTCGTTAATGTGCACCCAAATCTGAGCATACAGGCCTACAACATTACCGCCCCCATCGGAAATGCAGCCGCCGCAGCCGGCATTCGAACCCGACCTGGGCGGAGTACCCCTCTAGACCACCGCGGCGGGCCCGCACAGAAGAACCTGTCTGACGGGCGGGCCTCGACAAGAACGCTAGAAGGCCTGCTTGGTTTTCCACCCGAACATGATAAAACATGAACAGTCATGTCCTGCAAGCAAGCACATTGATGATCGATCATGGACGGCCTTTGGAAAGCGCCTCGGAAGTGAGGTCAGCCAAGGTCTCGCGCGACCTTCGCAAGCGCCACCGATTCTGCCGCCCTCGAAAATACGAAATCACTCGCCATTGCACTAGAAAGGAGAGAAGACTGCGTCGATTCACCAGGTGTCGTCATCGACACCGACGGTCTCTCTCCCACCCGCCTCAACCTCGCAACTGCGCAGAGGAAAAACAAAAGAAGAAAAAAGGGGAGAGAAGAGCGGAGCCTGTAGAAAGCTAGATATAGTGCGTAACCATAAAGATAACAAGGAAGAAAAACGAAAACTAGACAAAAAAGAAAAGGGGAAGGGACCGAGGAGGAGGAGGTGACGGAAGCGCGCGAAAGTGTTGCCCATACGAAAGTGATGCTCAGAGGGGGTGGGAACCGGAGAGGGGGGACAAATCGGCGCGAGCATATGCTGCGGCTATGGAAGCGAGTGTCATGTTCCATTGCCGATATCGTAGAGAAAAAATGGGTCAATGAAAACCTCTTCCCTCTCGCGGATACCCCGAGCGCGGTGCGCGCTCGTGCAACGTGCGTTGAACACTGAGCCAGTGTGTACATCGCACATTTGGAAGGACAACCTAGGAGACGTTGTATGGTGCCCATGCTTAAATACACCACCGAGTCCCCTAAAGACCAGAGTACCACGAGAAACTCGAAGGTGCATTCACCACCAACGCACAGCGGCGACAACCGAAACCCTCCTCTAGAACACAAGCGAAAGTCGACGTGCTGTCAAAAATGCAAGTCCGTCTGCTCGGCGTCTTCGTCGCTGTGTTTTGGATGCTGGATGAGCCGCGAAGCACCGCTGCGATCGGTAAGCTCCAGTCACCCGGTCCTTTGAAGCTGCCCACGCTTACTTTCACTCGAGGTTGTTCTTCCTCACTTCCACCCACTGGACACTGGCTTCCGGTTCCGGAATCAGATTTCGATCCTTGCCAGCGGAAATGTCAGTGCCAGTGAGAGCTGGCTGTGGGTGTTGCTGCTCCTGGTGCTGAGTCGGGACTAAGTGATGTACTGTTATTGCCTTCATTACGATATCTTAATTAACTGGACATTTCCTGTAGCTAAGTAGCAACCATTTGTTCTGGTCGACCCACAGTACTGTCATGAGAATATGGCGCGAATGTATTTGCAAAAGTCCTTGCGAATGACAGTTTCGCTAGACATTGAGCGCAACCTTCACATTCAGAATACATATTTGTACTCCAGAGTAGCAATATATCCGGGAGTCAGTTACTACGAGGAGCGCATACTTAGTAAACGAAAACAAATTAACTCATAAAGCATGCGTGAGTACGATTAGCAGAGCTAACGTGGAGCAAGTTTCATCCATAAAATTATTCAAGGCGTTGTTCCTTGTTGCCTTGACCACATCAATCCCATGCTTATCTAATAAGTTTGAACAAGAACGATCATATTTGACGGAGATGCTTCTTGTTAAATTAGCTAGACATCTACGTTATATTTTCAAAATAACATACGACACAAATAGTTCCTAACTTTTATAACAATGAACAAGATAAAAACAGTCACGTACTGTAAAAAGTGCCTTTTGATGATAAGTGTGGCAAATTTATAAAGCTTGATGCTTTAGTTACAGGAAATGTGTTTTCAAGGTTACAAGTCGTAAATTAGGCAAATTGAATGCCTCATCCCTTCCAGGTCAAGGTCATGTCCTTCTAACGTAAAGGCACCGTTAAACTTCTGACATGAGTGGAGAGCTTCAAGTCGTAACAGACCCAATGTCGTAACAGACAAAAAAAAAAAAAAAGATCGCTTTGGGTGGCGAAAGCACTGCTGCACGCACGGGGCATAAAAGGGAGCAAGAAATGCCGCTCTATTACGGCTTTGCCGCTATGGCATAACTCGGGAGCTCCCGTGAGCGAAAAGCCAGCGAGGAGGTTATAACGGCGCGCAATTGCCGAGCCACCCTTTGATGGCCCATTTGCCCAAGTCGCCGGATACACTGCCAAGTTGCGCGTGTGTGTATACGCCGCTCGGATGCCAAGAGCGCAATTAGCTTCGCTAGAATTGGGTCAATTGCATACGCTCCGGCGACATAACAATGAGCACGTGTTTTTTGTGCGCGTTTAATGGATGAAACACTGTACTTTTCCACCTGAGCTTGCCACAAACACTGGCCGCATGACAGCTCGCGCGGAGGATCATCATTAGCAATTTATTTGTGCTCCAAGAACGGCAGTTTCGCCAGTGGGCCTGATTCGGTGAAAGTGGCGACGAAACGTAATATTGCGAGGATATATATGTTACGAGGCATTCAGCTGCAATTAGCACGTGTACGTTGCGTTTACATTTCGCCCCAATTGCGTTCCTTCGTATGCCAGTCTGAATTATTTTGTATGCCTGGTAGTTTCTTTACCGTAACTATACGCTAGAGTGCTACCCTAAACTGAAATTGGGGATATGAAAATATTCATATTAAAACTTCGCGACAGTGGTTCTTGGGTGGCTGTGTTTTTTTATTGTCACAGCCTTCCACTAAATAAGTTCTCCAACCTCATGAATACATCTGAATTTCTTTTACGATTCTATTGATTTCCTTTCCACAATATACACATACCTTAGCGCTGAAGTACAACTTGATAAAAAGCAAACAGAGCAACGTGAGATGCGTACAATGAATAAAAAAACAAAAAAGCACAAGACGAAGAGGTTAACCAGAAAACTTTCTCATGGTTGGCAAACTTACGGTGGAGGATTATAGGCACGAAAAATGTAAAGGTGAAAGAGACAAAGGAAGACAGAAAAGGGAGAAGGAGGGAGGAAAACACCAAAAAATCGCACGCGGAAAAGAGTACTACTGACTTTCTCTTTGATAAGTTAGAACACACATGAAAGACATTGTTTGAAGAAATCAAAGACTCGGTGATGAATCATTAGTGAACACATTGCTTGCATATATGATTTGATACGCTTGATCGTCCCATGCGCGAGGCAGGCTTTTTTATTATAAACGAGCTTTCTTACTTGAAGCAAAGAACAGTTGCTCCTTGTGAGACAGCGGGGTCTTGTAGGTTGTGGTCCTGTACCTACACAAACTCGCCCCAATTTCTGATGTTAACTTAGGCAAAGCAGCAGTTATTATCATTCAAAGTTAGTTTAAGCCACAACAAACTTTTAATTATTATTAGTAGACGTGGTTGTAGTGTGAGCTTCGTGGACAAAATCCTGCTGCCGAAACCAGGATTTATCTTGGAAGTTAGCTTGTTTTGAAGAGTTGGGCTTTTTATGGGGAACTTACTTTTTTCTTCTCCCAACACAGACGCCCGTAGGTCCTGCGGTGTTCGGACTGCAAGACACGCTCGAGTGGTTGGGGGCCAAGTGGCATACGACGGAGAATTCCCCTGGCTGGTAGGCAGACTTTGTGAACCCTTGCATGCACCCGTTATTTGTTGTTATAGTGAACAACCTTTACTTAAACCTCCCGTAGAAATAGACGCTCAAGTGAAGACACTACTGATTAAGTGTACCAGGCTAATCTGAACGTGGTAACAAAAGGACCATTGCCAATACTGCTGAAACGAATTCCCATGTTAACCATGTCTTGTAAGGTCCCATGCGATCAACGAGAGTGATCAACCAAGGCAAAGACGAAGACGGTATAGGTGATTATTATGGTTATCAATGTGTCATGACAATGTAACCATAATGGTAAAAGCGCTAAGGGGTAATCGTTAGATGATAGAGGTCGGGCCCATACATGTGAATGCTGCAGCATAAAAGTGAATTCATTGCTGTGGCTGGCACACTGATTAAACCTAACATTTAAACACATCCATGTCGTCGACTCTAAAATCTACCCAGGTGTTCTCAGGTGTCCGTGAGACTTTTATGATCACCATTTCATTTCGTTGCTTCCACAGAGGATACTCGGCACAGTTTTCCAAAGCTATGAAGGCACATTGCGTGTAACTACCAAAATGCCAACTAATATTCTAAAACCCCGCGTTTTTGCTCTTGTATGAAGTATGTATAGCTAACATAGATTTCAATAAAACCTAGGGCATATTCTCACCAGTGTTGCCAAACCTGAAGAAGGTGCGCAGCTGAACTGGATGCGTTATTTCTTTGTTTTTTTTTTCTTTTTCTTCCTTAATCTCTTTCTTTTCCTTTTTCTCTTTCTGTAGCCTTCTTCAGTCATTTTTTCTCTCTATTTCTTTCTCCTTCTGTTTCTTTTAATTTTATCTGTATTTATTCCCATTTCTTTCTCTTTTCTGTATATGTCACTTCCTCTCTACTTTTATATTTTTATATCAATATATTTTCTGTTCTGTCTATATCCTTCTCTGTCGTTCTATCTATTTCAGTATTTCTATCGTTCCTTTGTACCTATTTCATTCTTTCTGCACTTGCTCTCTTGTGCATCAAAGCTGTTGTGTTCCACACTAGGTAAACCGGAGCACATGTTCTCGGATTGGAGCAGACTATGAAGAAGAGGGTGATCAGTTCGCGTGCCAGCTCATGATTGTGATAGTTTTTTTCTTCACTTTTCTTCAGAAAACTTTATCCATAAAATTATTTAAAGGCGTTGTTCCTTGCTGCCTTGACCACAACAACCCCATACTTATCTGATGAGTTCGCGTGCCGGCTCATGATTGTGATAGTTTTTTTTTCTTTTCTCTGCACGGGTCAACGAGCGGCCTAAACAACTCCACTATTAAAGGTCTCTTTGGGAAGACAGGATAGCAGTTATTTATTCCTCGCTATTTTCGAAGAAACGTGCTATCTGTTCCGATCGCATGACATATACGGATGCAGTACACGTTGACATAACATATTTTATTGTGCTAAGATAATATATGGCTGCCTTAGAGTGCCGGCAATAGACATGTTTCTCCTCTCTCAATTCTTCTTCAATTGTATGTCATTTCATAAACTGACAACAACAACAACCACGACGACAACAACGACACGACAACAACAACATGATAATAATAATAATAATAATAATAATAATAATAATAATAATAATAATAATAATAATAATAATAATAATAATAATAATAATAATAATAATAATAATAATAATAATAATAATAATAATATAATAATAATAATAATAATAATAATAATAATAATAAGTTATTATTATTGGCAATGCCAGTGCATCTCAGCCATTGCTGCTTTCGCGCCATAAAATCAAACGTAACCAATCATAAACACAACTTCGGGGTTTTCCACGTTCCAAAACCACAATACGTGAGACGCCGTAGTGGAGGTCAGAAATTTTGACCATCTGGTGTTTTTTTAACGAACTGATATCGCACAGAACATGGGCCTTTAGCTTTTCACGTCCAACGAAATGCGGCCGCTGTGGCTGGGACTGAACCTTCGGGTGAGCTGTCAAGTGTTGTAACCTTTGATCCCCCGTGGTGGACTATTCCTCAAAAAGTACCTTCTGAGGAAGTTTCAGATGTAGCTTCTAATAACGCAAAACTTCCGTACACTTTAGATTAAGCTACCTGAAGTTCGATCATTGTGCTGAACAAGTTGAGATTCACAGATTGCGAAGATCTCTAATAATGGCCAAATGTGCTTTGCGTGGTTTTTATAGGTTTCCATACAGTTCGTGCCGTCAATTGGGGAAAATAAATGTGGCGGCACTATCCTGAATGAGCGGTGGATTCTTACGGCGGCTCACTGCTTTTACGGGTAAGTTACCCGGCAGACTACGAAATAGTTCCAGCGTTATTTCTGACGTAAATTCTTGAAAAATGTTTTTTCAAAAAAAGATCTTGTTGTGGTATAGCTCAAAACACAGATATGACCTCCACCTTGGGGTGTTTCCTTATATTACTGAAAAACAAGAAAAGCTTGAAATCGGGATGTGCAACCTGCAAGCAAGTTAAGTATCTCGTAATGACAAATGCCCGAATCGAAGAACTCACATCATGAAAACCAAATACGGTAGATTGCTTCATTTCTTGAGACGCTGTACCCGTAAATATAAAAGACGCAGACCTAAGAATGAAGACCTTAATGTCATCTCAAAAAACTAAGTGAGGATGTCAATAAGAAAATACAGCAATAAGCTGTGCAGAATTTTCTTGGCTTGGCACCCGTTTCAGCAAATATCAACGCAGAGGTTAGCGTGACCCAGATACCCCCCCCCCCCCTTTTTTTTTCTTTAGTGCGAACCACCCGCTAAGCTACTTTATCACAGCACGGCAGATATTTCATGGTTCTCAGCGCGTGATCTTTCCCATAATATGACTATTGCGGAAAGGTATTGTCTTTCGTGGCTTTCGCCACCGTCTATGAGATATAACGGCAAATTTGTCAACTTTGAATTCGGAAGAAAACAAGATATACTGTTTATGTAGCATGCCCGTTAGCATGACTGCAATGAGAATTCTTCGTTCATGCACTCTCCAGTGAACTCTAATGCACTGTATACTCTCTGATCATTCTGAATCTACATCTTCCCGTGAATACGTACACCAGCACTTCACAATAATTTTATTGGATGTCCCATAAATTTCAAACCAGTGGTGATAAATACACTATCGATTCCCTAGTATTCTCATTCGCTAATGATAACTACTTGATGCATGCAATTGAATTCACTCCACCACGCAGCGTTAATTTAAGCGATTGACGAGGTTTGAAAACGTGACAGCTTCAAAGTAGCATCGCACAAACAACGGGTTATTGGCAAGACATAATTCATTTTCGCTTGTTGAGCATACCTTGTCCACTTGCAGGTACCAGAAGTCCAATTTCGTAGTACGCGTGGCGGAATACAACCTTCGCACGAAGGAGCCGCGCACACCCGCCATGACTTACACCATCGACCAGCTGATCCTGCACCCGGACTACCGCAAGGTGAAGAAGTACGACAACGACATCGCACTGGTTCGGCTGAGCCGAAAGATCAGCTACAACGAGTACGCGCAGCCCGCGTGCCTTCCGAGTCTCACACTGTCTGACACAAACGGCATCAACGTCACCGTCGTTGGCTGGGGGCAAGTGTCCGAGGACGTTCCCAGGACTCCAGGTTAGTGACCTCCGGCTGCGTTGCGGTGGCTTAGCTTTGTAGCCCCGACCCGTGCTTTTCATTGCTCCCGTTTTAATATCGAAGTTGATCTAGATATGTGTAAAGAACGGGACTGCGCCCGAAAGCTAAGATTCTAATGCACGGGTTTGTGTCAGAGAGTTTCGCACATATCTAACTACTACCAGCAACGGCGTGGCTCGTAATGACTCATATGGGGGAGGAAACGAGGGTGAAATGAAAACTAGGGTGAAAGAAAGAGACAAAGAAGGAAAGAAAAAAGAAAGAAGGAAAGAAAGAGAAATAAATAAATCAAGAAATCAAGAAATAAAGAGAAACAGGCAGATAGCCGAAAAAAATATACGAGAGAGAAAGAGAGAGAGAAATAAACGTTTATCTGGAAACAGTGTTCCGAGCGATGCCTAGTATCACCCTAAAGTGGGAGGATTCCCTAGTCCAGGAACCCTCTGGCGCATGTTTCCTCGATCCGAAGGAAAGACTCCAACCAATTGGCTTTACGGGCACGCTAGCCGAGCATAGCACAGCTTTGTAAAGCACATACAGGGTAGCAATAAAGTCGGAAATGAAGGGGAGGAGGGGCAAAAGTAAAGCACAAAAGAGGAATATGAAGACGGGTATGGAAGTCGTGAATCTTCAAGATGAACGTAATGGTCTTTGGAGAGTACGAGTGGCGATGCGTCCGTGCTTAGCTGGGCCAAGCTTTGTGCGACTTCGTGCAAACTGCACACACTGTTTTGTAGTACGTGAACTTATCTAAGTGAATGTTTTCATATAACAAAGTGTCGCATGCGTTTGTGCCGTTTCAGTAGTTCATAGACTCGTGCATGCAATTTAGCTTAGTAAGTGTAGAGCCGCAAATGTAATAAAAAAGGTTTTGTCATAGTGGTCGATGTATACGGTGTAACAACAGAAAAAGACTGGAAGATCTTAGTTAAACGTGGGAGCAGCACCTTTAACCACTTAGCGTGAATGACCTGGCTATTTTAGCATTATTATATAATTATACATTGCATTCATGACAACTTGCCTCGTATGCTGATGCATAATTTCTTCCTTCCAGAGTGGTAGTTCTCTTTTAAACGCTAAACAAGAATAACAAGTCATTCCGTTGTTCATACGAAGAAGAAAGTAAACGTATACTGAATTAACACATGAAGGTGTAAGTTACTTGTTTAATGCACATCGATAAAAAAAAGACGTATGAATTAAGCATATTATTCGTATACTCCTATTTTTGTGGACAATTCGGTTCTTGCGGGCTTTGTATATTCAAGTTAGTAAAATCCTTATTGAATATCTACCATATTCAGTGGCTTGGGGACCCAAGCCCTAATCTCTCTCAATACGGTGGGTATACATACCTAGGCTTCGAGTAATTATTTCTTGTGAAAGTGGCTGTCTCCATATGATTATTTCTAATACTGTGATGCAGCCGTCCCACTGAAGGCGGTCCTGACTGTATTTGACAACCATATCTGCAACACCTGGCTCCACAACCACTCCATGCGAGTTCTCGACAACCACATGTGCGCTGGTGTTGAAGAAGGTGGAAAAGATGCCTGCCACGTAAGCACTTACAATTATCTCTCGTCCTGATAGCTATAATTTCTGGGTGCATTAAATCCAACGTTCATATGAATTTTCAAAAAAAAGTTAGTGAAATTGTTTAATCTAAAGATTACCCCAGCAACAACGTATGCTTCTGCGTTAAGATGTCAATGCAGCTTGGCATTACTATTTCCCTGCCCTCGAATGTCGAGAAACGTCACTTATTTTTAGCCTATCTACTTACAATAAAATGATTATATGTCAGTACAGTGCCGACTCAATATTTTTAGAACCGTAGCTAACAATACGAATTTATTCTTTTAACTCCTGTCAGTGCTTCTTCCTGTTGTTTCTTCCGTTGTACATTGTCTTGTTTTCCGCCCTGCTCCTACTACGGATCCCTACCAACGAGCCCAGCTAACTACACCTTAGCTTTAATGTATTATGTAACACGAAGGGCAAGATTAAGAAAAGATGTTCAGCTAAGTTCGTCACACCAGTATTTTTTATTCAAGCTGCCATTAGGTGTAGGTTAGCAACTAGGACCAGAAATGTGAAATGTAATTATTGGAAATCGGCTGCAGACTTCTTGCGTAATCTTGAAAAAAAAAAATTAGCGCCAACACTACGGAAAACACAAAACGAGAAGGAGACAGTGCGAGCGCGGTCAGTCGTGTTCACGCGAATTTTTCCAAGAGTGCACCGTTTCCGGCTCGCCTACATTCTTACCTTTCATGCGTGTTAAGTCAGATTATCTTTATCTGCTTAGTGCGAAACCACTCACAGCTATTGTGTGGGGCTGTTCACTTGGTGAATGATTTATCTTAACGCGGTAGTTTTGTAAGCAATGTATAGGATCGTTTAGTGCATGATACTGCCACATAGTAAACGTAATATTTACGCAGATCTGTTTTATACATGCGTCGCTCTTTCACCCTTTCGCTTCTGTTGATGAGCATAACTGTGAGATTTTCTAACAAAATAACTGATATTAGCTATGATTGTCATCACCCAAAATTTGTGCCACATGGAAGCAATTGGAACCATGCTCATCAGAATAGTGGTTCTTGACATTACATCATGAAACTTGTCCATTTGTGTTTCGCCTTTCGTTTTATTGCCACTTTTATTGCCATTAGTGAAGTCACCTTCACGTTATCTTTTTACGTGATTAGTGAAATAACAAAACCTGAGTAAGTTGAATGAATGATACCACTTCATTCATCAAAAAAAAAAGAATTTTTTAATAATTTTGGCACATTTTTAACTTTATATCAGGTAGCGATAGGTTGAACAGATTGAGTAGCAGTAACCGAGTAAAAAGCGTCGCTGATTCATTATTATCATAAAGCATCTTGTCTTGGCCAAGGCAGCAACACTGCTGCCCTGAGGGAGTGAGAAGTTTTGTCGAATTAATAGCTTGCAGCAACATCACTTTTTCCTGTGAATGATAATCAGTTGACGCCTGCCTATCTTCCTGCGAACTGTTGTATTACTTTGGTCTCATAAGTGGGGAAACCTCGGCAGTTACATTATTGTCCTTTGAGACCGAAAGCTCTGCGCAACATTTTCAAGTGAATTTCTTTATTGGAAGCAAACAGCGCGAAAAACTAGAAAGTAAGACAAAGAGAGACACATACAAAGCACTGTCCCCCTTTGTCAGGTTTCTCGCGCCGTTTATTTCCATTATGTCGCACCAACACGCTCAAGCACTTCAGCTGTAAAATTCTTGAACATTGCACAGGGTGACTCCGGGGGACCACTCCTTGCGTTGAACAACCGCCGCTACGTGGTTGTGGGCGTGGTGGCTGCGGGTGACGGCTGTGCCCTGCCCAGGACACCCGGCATCTACACACGAGTCACGGCTTTCCTTCCTTGGATAATGGACTACATATCGCCGGACAGCGGCGACCATGACAGTATCGCCAGGAATTTGATGTAACACTGCCTATGCTTACGGGCTGCAGACGCGAGCGTTGATACTGTGGGCGTTGTTCATATTTAGGTTGTACTCAATTTTGAGCATATCCTTGTCACCTTGAAACCAAGTGGCTATTTTGAAATAGTGTCATGTAATTTACAAGCCATGCTGCCATCTCACCTGAACGATTCTTGCTGCTGATACTGCCTCCTGTGCTGCCACTAAGCTTAAACTGCTATTTCAAATGCAACGTCAATGCACGACGCAAAGAATAGCACTTGAAATTCTAATCTAGAGTCATGGCTCTTATCAGGTCGATTATGGCTTAGATGGCACAATGTAGTTACGAATGGTGGACAGCAGTTTCCGTTCCCATCAAAAGACGAGCAGATGCCCCTATTTTTTTAAATCAGTGACGGAAAATGCATACAATTCCCATTGCTACGCTAACAACTCTGTTAGCATTAAAAATTTTAGGTATTTGCATACATTTTTTAAAACAATATTTGTCTACTCTGTCGATCTAAAGCCGGGTCAATAGAGCAGTTAAAGTTCTTGTTGATAAGCGAGATTTGCTTTAGGGCAGTACCAAACAGCCCTGGCGTATTTATCTCAGCACCACAAAAGCCTCTTAAATCAGCGCTACTGCAGTAACAGATATATACATGTCTTGCGTTGCTATTCCGTCCGACTAAGTTCTAGAGAAGTAATCATGTCTGAGATATACTTGTGGTACTCATGTGAGCTATCCTACAGTGCGTGTTATATTTCAATTCGAGATATATTCTGCCCGGAAGCATGACAGCCAATAAGCTCTTTCAACCAGGGGAGCACTCACAAGCGGCAATATCTATCTTGTAAAATGACAGGTTGGACAATCGTTGGGGTGAATATAACTTACTACTTCGAAATTTAAGCGCATTACTAAATCTGGCTTGTATCACATAATCACAGCACTCTTGTTAGCATTGCAGCTGCTGCCGCAATAATTCAGTTAAATGTTATGCTTCGAGTGATAAGTCATTGCAATGGTTGTTGTATTTCTGCTCGAAAATGATAATGGGAGGATTAACCATTAAGTGATCCATAATATATGAGAATGTATAGCTTGGTTCATGAATACGACTGTATTTACAAATGTGCTTCATGCTCAATAAACATGAGGATACAGAAGGCTACAGAATGGTGGTCACAAAAAATCAAAAGTATGAAGCATACATAAATGTTCAATTAAATATCCCGTAAAAAAGCATACAGTGATCAACTTCTTGCAGCTTCTTTTAGATAAAGCTCACAAATATAATATTCAAAGAATGGACAAAGGCAGCTTCTCTGAAACTATTTGAGTAGGTGAATTAATGTGCATTCAAGATTTCAACCATTTATGACATGTTCCTTATTTCCGTTGTTAATTGATTTCATAAGCATATGCTTGTCGATCTTATGCGCCACTGTATACATCATGTACTAGGTACAAAGTGTGCTGATTATAGTATCAGCGTTATTTATTACTGTACAGAGTAGTATATCCTGCACGTTCCAATGTTCCTGTAAGTAGTAGTCATCTGCAATGCAGACCATTGTTATTCTCTTCATAAATATATCGTTTTGATCATTTGTTATTCATGCACCTTTTATAGGCACTGTTAACTTTGAGAACGTTGATGAAACAATGTTGAAATTTTGTGAAAAGCATGCTTTCAGATGTTTATTTTCTTTTTATATTGCATTAATTGTAGCCTCGTCACTTTCATGCTTAGCACGAATTCGGCACACTGATGCACAGTGACGGTATTGTACAGACACAAAGAAATATTCCTGATGCAACCACAACGTCATCACGAATGTTTGATCGAAGTGCTTGAGGTCTAGAGCCCAAGTCTTCTGTTGAGTGCTGCTAGTCAACTGTTTTTTTTTTTCACTACATTTTGCACCACTGCCACGAGCACTTTTTCTCGTTTGTCCACCGCAATCGCATTATCTTTGACACCTGTTTCACACATGCCCAAATGACAAAGTTGAAGGTCTAGAAAACAGTCTTGTTTAGGGTTGTGCTCACAATATTTAAAATAACTTTGTATTTCTGTTGTCGTTCTCTCTCTTGTTCTTTCTGCGATGTTCTTCCGTTTCCTGAATTGTGACACTGTGAACTAAATATACAGCAAAATTGAGTGAGGACATGCAAAGTATATGAATAGACTGTTCGCGTTACAAAACTAGCGTCTGATGTCGGCCGCATGCATTATACGATATTTCATATAGGACAGTGAACTATAGAGCTGAGAATTAGATGCGTTCTGTCAACTCACACGCCCAATACACCAAAGCATTTTGTACATGAAAGTGTGGATCGACATCTCTAAAAGTCAACTTTTTCAAGTTACAACAACAGATTTTATATAATTGACACCTGAAATGAACTAGAATACCCTATTCATTTTTGACAGCTTTCCATCGGGAAGAAATACACGCTTTTGTTGTTTGTAAACCTCTAGAAATTAAAGGTGCAAAAAATGTCACAGTTACGTATTGCAGTCATCCTAGTGCATATATGTACATAGAGCAGAGCAGGTCTGTACGATAGCATTTGTTTTGCAACACAAGATGTAAAATGCAATCCAAGTCATACACACGGCTGTGAGAGTTGATGTTCTCTGTCATCACGTTTGTGTTTTGGCCTTACTTCTCATTGAGAAGGGATGTCTTATCTATTCACTGAACTTGTTGGCGATGTGTTTTATGCATCAAAATAAAGTGTACATATGGATCTATCTATGTGCTCTCAGTTCATATATATATATATATATATATATATATATGTTCAACATATATATGTTGAAGTCTTCGTCAGCCTGATATCTTCTGCATATCTGGTGAAACTTTTGTTGTACGAATTGGAATCACTTTTATTGTAGCTGCAGCAAACTTCAGCACAAACAAACTATGAAATTAACTTGAAGTGATCACCTTATGCAATAAAACACGATTTTCAGTTAGGAATGAATTCGAAATGTTTCACACGCATATCACCCGTGCATTTTTGTTTCGACATGAAAAATTATCGTATTATAAAAAAATATAAACACGTATTGGAGTTCGTTGTACTAAGTCTTTAGGGATACTCTCGTGCACCGATTGACAAAAACATTTCGAAATAAAAACACATTGATCAAGACATTTTGCAAATACAGCCTCAACAATGTGCGTATCCACATTCTTCATCCCGAAAAACGCTTGTCCACTTTAATTTCTTTGTTGTCAAAATAAATTCCGAGACATTGTTTTATGTGTTTCATGTGATGGACGTGGTAACGCACATAATCCTAAATGCAATATTCCCGCCAAAAATAGCAAATAAATAGGTTGAAGCAGAAGTAATGGCCCACTGCAAATGTTATTTTGAAATAAAAATACAAAGTTGGGAAAAGTTGAGATGGACTTTACGTACACATGCAGTGGTAAAATAGGGCACAAATGCTTAATTTAAAGAACCCAATTAGATCTCTAGGTTTAATTAGGAATATTGAAGTGGAACACTTGGAGGCTTGGAAGTTTACTGCCGAGGCATACGAGAAAGTTTTAAAAGTATCAAGTCCAATATACCTACATAAAAAGCCTACCTATGGGTAATAACATTTATATTATCACCCATAGTAGCCTTTTATTCAAATGTGCATGACTGTGGCCTGCCATTTCGTGATGCAACAACATTCGGTTACTTAATTTGCGGCATTACTTCTGAAGTCTCCCCCCCCCCCCCGTCTTCATTTCACTCACATGCTTTCTGTTATTTTATATAAACGTTGCATATATGGACCAAATACATGCGCTCATGTTTATTGATAAAGGAGGCTTCCAGTAATATTTGTTGATGTAGTGGTCTGAGATCAAACAGGTAATGTTTAAAAGGTATGCTAACTTCTGCTAGATGACATGATTGATGTGAAGAAGAAGATGGAAGCATTGAAATCAAAGGTATGAGATAAAGCAATAAAATGTTAGTTTCTTCACACACATACACACATACAATGACAATGGGTGTTATTGGACTGTACAAAACACACAAGGGTTCTTGCCGAAGCATAAATGAGGTATCTCGCGAATTGCACGCTTTGTACACAGACATTTGCTCAAAAATATGAAAGAATAACAGCGATGAAAGAAAGTAGGTGCCGAAGAATATTAAACAAAACACAAACATAAGGCTTTTCGGAAGACAGATGCTGAACAGATGCTGAAGAGCAAGAATTGCTGATTCTTCGGGAACACCTAGAGTAACGTTATACTATGCACATTCGCTAGAAACACCATTTCAAGCCTAGATAATCTTCATTGACTGCTGTATAACTGCCCTTAATTAGTATGATGCAGGCAGGCTACGGGGAAAACACATGTTAAACAAGGAGGACATGCCTTTATCAAGCTAGATTCATCCATGTGAAAGCGGCACTTTATTTAAACACCCTTGAAGTTGATTGCATAGTCCAACGCTTCTATTAGTTGGATGTCCTTTTTATGCACCTTAATATCGGTTCTAAAACATCCACCATGTTCAGCTTGCATACTCATTGTTAAGCCTAGACATGTTGACTCATTCGCCTTCTTTTCCTACATTTCTGAGCTTCATGTTTGTTTAATGTCAGGGAATAAGCAAACTTTTCTGCGGACTGCGAGGTTTGCGACATCAGCCAAGATTGTTGTTTTTCTTGTGCTACGTTCACGCTACTTTTCCCTATACGATCAGTTCTTGTTTAACAATGCTTTCACGACATGGCGAGCTTTTGTAAACATTATTCATAAAACACTCTAACTCAAAACACTGCAATAAATAGCTTAAGATATTTGAATTCTTTGGCAACAGCAATGTGCTCTAAGGGATCTGCATAAAAACAACATCAGTCAATGCTGAGCGCAGTTTCCTTGTTGTTCGTACTACGGACTGGTAGGCCACTAGCGGCTGCTCCTCAGGTGACTCATTATCCACGGCATGTAGGATGTGATGCGAGTGTACAGTCCCGGGAGCAGCGGCCGAGCGCAGCCAATGCCACCGGATACGACGCCGATGACAACGTACGTGTTATCTGCCAGGACCATCAAGGGCCCGCCAGAGTCACCCTGCGGCATTGAATGCAAAGGCAGATGCACCAATCTGAACCACTGCTGTTTGTGCTTGCTCTCAGCACAGGTATCATACCACATTTTCCATTAACGACAATTTGTTAGGACATTGATATAGCAATAGAGACAACATTCACTCAATCCTTATATTGTGAATTACGTGGGGTCCAATGCTTCCTTCTTAAAATAAGGACAAAAAACACAGTAGGTAAATTATACAGCACAGTAGTCTCAAGTAGACATAATAATGAAGGAGAGAGATGTAGGGACAAATTAGGAAAAGGCTGGTGTGAAACTGGAAGAGAATATCCTAGTTCACCACCATACGCCGGGAAAAACAACAGGGAAAAGGTGGGGAGACGGATGGAGACAAAAGGATTCGTGCAATGAAAAAGAGGCAACAAAGATTGCAGAAGTACAGAATATCTAATTAACCAATGCCGAATAAATATATTAACTAGTTTCATAAATCACTTCCCATCTTGCAGGTATTCAAGATGCTATTTCGATAGCCCGGAGCGAAAATGGTGGCACGGATCATAGTGGCAGGCACAAAATTGAAGTGTTCGATTTGCAAACACCTCCCTTTGGCAGCACTGGTAAGAACGTCAATCACCCGTATCATGGAATTTGTAAAAGTACGCCAATGTCACATCCCACACCTGAAGAACGTAGACCTGCTTCATCGGAGCGAGAGGTGTTTCCCTTGGTATAGAAATCGCGCGCAGACAACTAAACAAAAATAACGATATCATTTCTGAACCATACCATTATATCGTTATCGATAACGACTTTTAACAATATTGATTAAAGGGTCGGTTACTTTTGGTAATTTCATTAGTGAGTTGAACACTTTATTTGCATATATATTATCGGTATTTCATCATACGCTCGTATGTATGACGATCTATTGTAATCCATTACAATTGAGAATGAAGTAGTAAGTCCATACACGTCTCGGCGTAAAACATGCCTAATAATTACTGCGGCTTATCAGTAAGCAAGAAGGTTTTTGCATGAAATCCTACTAATAGGTTACGTTGGCACCCAACCCAAGAGCTACCAGATCATTTCTTCGCCAACGCAATGCCACAACACCGCAGTTTATACTGCGCGGAAAGGGTAAAGCAGACAAGAATGATGTGGCCATCCTGTGGAAATGACAACAACTTCTTTCGCGTTGATGCTGTCTGTGCGGTTGATGCTAAAATCCAATAGAGCTTTCTTTCTCAGACAGTAAAATTCAATCTTCGCTACAGAATGTTCATTAACGGCTGTGTTCTCGTTTGTTTTCTTTGTGTTCATATTTTTGCTTTTTTTAGTTGCATCGTATTTATGTTCGTATAGCTCTTTTCATGCGCTTACCGTGCAGGCATCCTTCTTGCCTTCTTTGTGCCCAGCGCAGAGCTGCTCCCTGGCGACCCGGATGGACTTTTTCGCCTCGATGTAGAGTCCATTGCACTGGCCGTTGCTCATAAGCTGCACTTCCACCTTCTGGAGCACGTCCGTCATGTATGTACTCAGGCTCTCGTCCTTAAAGGAGTCTGCACATTGAAGTATATTAATCTTGGTCGAGCGATGTAGAAAGAATGTCCTTCTCAAAACAGGCTATCTTGACAAAATGTTATGCTTAACACCATGCATTTAACAAGCATATGAAACTATCAATTTGGAGAAGAAACGTAGCGTATTTGTGAAGGTCTCGACGTTACTCATCGTGTATCACTCTTGCTTCTGACTATAGCTAGAATAAAACGTATTTGTAAACAATACTAAAGTATTTATGTCATGGTCTACAAAAAGCATGAAGAAAAGAGAGTTGATTTTGGCCCAGCCAGTTTGCAAGTAGCTATGTCCAAGGAATGCAGTCTGATTCAACCTTAGAGAACATTGTTGTGAAGACCGCTTGTTGACACACACTCCTAAAAACTGCACTAGAACTGTGCGAATACAGGCTTTATGACACCTAAAAATCAGCAAGCTAAACACTGCGTGAACAGCACCTGTGCATGTCTTTACCTTTAAATTGATTTTTTGCTCGAACTTATTAACCGTACGTAATTAGCGTTTTTCTATATAAGGTCAGCGCATATATAGCTGTGGTGAGCAGCGTTCTTAGTTGCAGAGTTTTGAAAGCAATCATAAATACCTCTTAGCAATCTATAGTGTTAAACCACCTTCACACATAGCTCCAACCAATACTGCGCACTCAGAGTGACATGTCAAAGAAGCCGTGTCGACAAGCTGATCGTGAAGTGAAAGTGTTATCTTGTCCCTTTGGTCATGCATAAACCATTTCGAACGAGTCGAAGCAGTCATTGAACGGCCAATTTCCTTTAGCTGTGCTCTCATGAGCCAATCAGCTACACAATATACAAGAGTGCTGGAGTGTGCTTAGTGCTTGCACTATACGCCCTAATAGTTTCTACAGCCTAAAAACAAATTACTACCACTTTCTCTATTTTACGAGTGAAGCTCCTTATGCCGTAGGTCGTGCGTCTGCAATGTATGTAGTAGTAGTCGTCGTCGTCGTAGTAGTAGTAGTAGGCAGCCACCTCTCGTTTAGTCCTTGAAAGTTCGCTAGATGGCGGTACTTCTATATAAAGAATACATGATGAAAAGATGCGAAATGGTACTTGGAGATGAACGGATGAATGAACGCACAGCCGGACAGACAGACAAATGCACGGACAGATGAATGCATGGATGCATGGATGGATGCATGGGCGGACACATCGACGCACGCATGGACGGAAGCATCGACGGATGCATGGACGGACATACGGATGGTCACACGGACAGACGAAAGCAAGAACGAAAGGATGGACGGAAGCGCGGATGGACAGATGGACGCTTCGCCCCATTCATCATCCTTCAGTCCATGAATAAGCTGTGATTTTTTTTCTTGTATTAAGGAACTAGAACTCACAGCTGGTGACATTGTTTTGCATGCCAAGGATGCTTCAGTGTGATCATAATTACAATAAAGAGGCTGAAGTCTTGAACGACTTGAAGCAATTGGACGTGGTAAGAAAAGAAATCACAGCCATATCCGCAAAGTAAATGATGATCGAAGAACTTGCTCGGAGGTGCACCAGGTGTTTCTTGGCGAGACCATTTCTGTAGGAAGGTTTGTTAACGAGCCGGTGCATGACGTGTACAGTACGCCAAAGGCAGCGTTGTCGGGCACTTTTCGCAGCCGGCAATGCAGAGTGTTAGCCACGCCGATCAGCAATGTTAACCACCTGCTGTTTTATGCTATACTGGCTGCTGCCGTGAGTCAAACGTATAACGCTCATAAATGGTTGACGTGAAGCTATCAGGTGGTCTTCAACGGGGCTGAGAGCAGACGGGTGAGGGGACTTGGGGGGGATATTGGTACCCGTTCGTAACACTCATCCTAGGAACATGTCCCGTTCTGTCGGGCCTACGAAGCGACGAGAACGAAGTGGACAAAGTCGCGAGTAGGAAAGTGCACGCGCAATCGAGAACCGACCAACGCATTGTAGGGAGACTTCATGTGTGAGCTGGGCAGAGTCTTCTGTCTGTGCCGCCTCGCGTCCTCCGACGCGCACATGAAGGCTCCCTAACGGATGGATGTATGGATGGATAGATTGATATGGCTGTACCCTTTGGATCGGGCGGTGGCTAACGCCACCAAGCCCTAATACTTAGTGATAAGTATTACATAATACGCCCTGGGTAGTGGCGTGCCATCTAGTGAGCATTGTTATACTCACTGCCGTTAGCGGTGACCGTAGAAGTGTACAATGGCTACACTGGCGTACACGTCCGCTTGCCGAGGTTGCCGAGCAAGCTCATAAAAAGTATCATTTTCGCCACAAGGACAAAGTAATGAACGGAACAAATTGTACAGTCATATGAAGTAAGTAAGGCTAGCAGCGAACTCTTCAATGTCCCATTTGGCATATTTTTGCTAAATTCTAATAAGAGCGAAAAAAGTTGCTTTACGAAAAAAAGCGCTTGTAGGGCAGTCTGTCTTCTCAACGCGAACCGGTGAAAGAACAGCGTGTAGAATAGCTGTTTGCTGATGTCGACCAAGATAACGAGCGCGCCAGTGATTGCGACTGCACCTTTGTGGTCGAAGCTAAGAGTCGTTGCACTACACAACCACGCGCTCCTACCTCTGCATCCCTTCATGTTCCTTCAAGCCTGGAGGCAAGTTGCCTTTCTGCCTGAGGTGCAGCCGATGGCAGGCCTCACACGTAGAGCGATGTTATTGAAGGCACCCTCCGTGCGATGGAGATAGCCGCCTCGCTTCATCTCTGCTTCAAACTCGTTCGTTACCAGCACTCGTGGGTAGAACATGCGATTCGCGGGTGATGTTACTGATTTAGACTTTATACTGAACATGACGGCGACGGCAGAAACCTGTCGACAGCGGTCACATTGATTTCTATTACAAAATCAAGCCGCTATATCTGAAGCACCTGCGCTGTAATCTCCCACGTTGTATGTCAATGCGGGTGGTGCACATTTTAACAGCGAAGTTGTTCAAGCCGGGCTAATGCGTCCGCTCAATCCGAGCACCTGCCTTCTGTTTACTTTCTCCTTCATTACTAACACATGCGCGTTGATTTGTTCGGCGAGTAATATATTAACTCTGACAGGCGAGACGACGAGCACAGAGATAGAAATAGAAATAATGAAAGACAAATTGAGAAATAAAATTTAGGCAGAATCTGAGAAAAAGATAGGGGCGAGATAACGAGTGCAGAGAGATATAGTAAGAAAGAGAGAGAGGTAGAAGAAATAGAAGAAGATAGATAAACATAAGAAAAAATAGAGAAATAGATACAAAGAAGCATAGGAGTTGGGTAAAAGGTCAGCAAGCATAGCCATATAAAGCACCGTATTGTAATCGGTGGGAAGAGTTAATTTGATTATTAAGTGGCGTTTAACGTCCCAAAATCACCATATCATTATGAGAGACGCTGTAGTGGAGGAACTCTGGAAATTTCGACCACCTGGGGTTCTTCAACGTGCACCAAAATCTGAGCACATGAGCCTACAACATTCCCACCTCCATCGGAAATGCAGCTGCCGCAGCCGGGATTTGATCCCGCGACCTGGGGGTCAGCAGCCGAGTGCCTTAGCCACTATACCACCGCAGCGGGGCAATCGTTGGGAAAAAGAAGTGAAAGAAAGGCGGTAGATAAAAGAATAAAGCATAGCACAGTTTTGTATACTTAAGTATTGGAAGAGGTGGGAAATAAAAGCGAAATAAGGAAAGCAAAAGAATCAGCTCTGCCGCTTCACACCACTATAGCGCATAGGTGCCCCGTGCCCCCATACACACACTTTTTTTGTTGTTGTCTTCAGGTTTGGCAAACCAGACATTTACCTGCACTCCTGTAACTCAGCAAGGTCATGAAAATCCAGACCCATTCGGATCTATATAAAAACGTGGGCATTGCATTGGTTATGAGCCGTTCAGGTGAGGTGTCGAGCAGACCACGCTTTGTCATAGGGTCCTGTCGATCATTATAGTCTGTTGCATGAACTAAACAGTCTTCGAGATGAACAAACAAACTGCAGATGCAGTTGTTTTCCCTCTTGTGACTCAGTGCTGATAATATAGCGTGCTGAATAAACGCAGTAAGCAGCTATTGTTTTTCGTGCCACCAGATATGAGATTACCATACCTGACGCAAATCCGCCCCACGAGTGGCTCTTAACATATGTAAATCCCATTCGGATGCATTGCTGCAATTGCATCCGCACGGACGACACGTGATCGAAAGCAGCTTTAACCGGCGCTAACCGGTTTGCTTACGAGTCGTTAGGGTGCGAGCGCTCTTCCCACAGTCACACCTTCCGGATTACGAAAGTAAAAAAAAACGAAAACAAACTGCATTCGGTAGCGGTTCGTTACACGCGTGTCGAATCGTATCGTATAGAAAACCAGATGCGATGGAACTGGAGCTTGACCTTACTGATAAGACTGCTTTGTGACTGCAAGGTGCAGACAAAACAACGCATTTATGAATATGCACGGAAATGTTTATCTATTATCAAAAAAGGGCATGGTCAAACGCATTTCCATAATTTTGTCGCAACTGGTAGAGGACGTTCATTTTTTTTCACAAAAATGCTTCTAGAACGGTAGTTATTCATAGCGAATACAGTCACACACAATTGGAACTTCCATGGTTTATCTCTAGGTTCATTATTACAAGTTTCATAAATACTGAAGGCAGTCACAGCCTTTATTTCACCTTCTCAGCACATGTTGTATGAAATTAAACTTTCACTTCCTGCGCTGCTGACTAGCATTCAGAGAGTTCTTTTCAGAGAAAAAGAGGCACATGAACACTAAATAAGCTCGCCAAATTTCCTGATTTTTCTAAAGTGTTTTTTTAAACTTATGTATATTTCATGGGAGTTAAGTCAGAAGTAGCTGATTCCCATATTGGTTCATGCTCTGCGTGCTTGCCTATCTATAAGAGGTTGGTTGAAGCGTGGAAAGTGATAGATGGATTATTGGACGGCCATACACTTTCCAGATTTAACGCCTCCCACATTCACAAACCACAGAGTTAAGCGCACCTGTCGTGACCACAACAGTCGAGCGATCTTTTTTCATCGCCTAACTGGAATAAACTCCGGGATAACAGGTATGAATATATCGACCTTCAGCTCCTGCCGGGGCCACCGTCATAAAGCCATAGCGTTCCGGGGAATCACCCCAAGGAGAAATCCTTGCAGAAGTGTGGCGGATGGGAAAACCCGGAAGCCCGCACTCGCGCTCGAACCTGCAGCTCCGGGGAATCCCCGTCCTTACGAGGTGCAGTAGCACTGGATGCTCACCGAGCCGCAGTTCCCGGACGTATCCCCAGCCGGCAACGGTGCCGTTCTTGCCGGAGGCGTAGAGGCTCCTGTCGGAGGCCGACGGTAGGCAGGCCGGCACGGCGAACTCGCCCAGCGGGATGTCCGAGGCGAGTCGCAGCAGGCCGATGTCGTTGCTAAGCCTTTTCGGCTGGCCGAACATGGGGTGCAGCAGCAACTTCTCTGGTGCCAGGTCCAGTGACGAGTGGCCCAACTCCGCCTGGTACAAGTGGTACTCGCCCACACGGACTCGCAAGTTCCGCAAAGTGGCCCTGCGAGGGAATCACGCCACGTCAAGAATCATCACGTGGCAGCTTCATCTCATCGATGATCTTCTTCACCATGGACAACCCCAATACATGGTGAGGATGAATACATACACGCATGCTAATCTCGCACGAAGTGTTTGCAGAGGAGCGCACCATCGATGCAACAATGTATAACGCAACACGGAGACAGAAGAAGTGAAAGTTGCACGAGTTGTCGGTCAGCATTGTACTGTTTTGTTTATTAACTCAAAGCATTTTACACTCATCAGGAAAATTATATCTGAGGTACTCACGCTCCGAAGGGTATACAAGCAAGCGCATTCTCGGTCTTCACACAACGAACCTTTCGAATTACAAACCGTATTGTCATAATGCTGCTTGACATTTTTGCACATACTTTAAAACGCATATACGTGTCAGTGTAGATGTCATAAAAATAGAAAAACATAAAGATACAATAGGGAAATAGTGATGTTTACACCCCTAAATGATACATCCAAACCAAAGAGAACGCTGCTATCGTAACAGTGAAAGTGGCAAGGTAGCACTCGTATAGCTCTCGTTGAACAAACATCACATGGCCTGGTTCCCGAGCATGAAATTTAGCTCATTTTAGTCCAAAGGTATCACGTCACGAGCGTTTGGCGAGGCAATTGTTCAAATATTTGCTGTGGTAAATACGTTTGTACCGCTGTTTTAATGATCAAGCATTAGGCCCTCGATTTAGTATCACGTTCACAAGACGTTAGTTAGTCATCCGACGCTATGGTTATCAATCTCATGTGCCCCCTGAATGCGCCGCTCGTTTTGTAAAATTATTTTCAAGCAAAAAAGGAAAAAAAAAAAAACAAAATGGAACAGAGTTCAAGCGAACAACAGTAAACGAGTAGTGGGCATTTGTAGTCACTGCTTGCTTTCTTTTTGATCTTGTTGCACTTGCCGTGCGATGGTGATTAGCTAAAAAGTTCAGAAAAAATTTATTTATCAAGGACAGTTTTTTAAGCTATCATAATGTCGTATCACGCTGCATATGCAGGTGCGTAGGCAGAAATACTTTTTTCGGAGGAGTGGGGGTACTTCTTTAAAATAGTTGTTTTCGCTATGTATGCCATGGCGAAAAAATAAGGAGAGGGTGAGAGAGGAAATGGTGTCGGCGTGCTACGCCACTGTGCTTATGCGACTGATTAGAAAGAAATGTTCGACAACTTTTTACAACACTATGCAAAGTTTATTGCACATCATTAGGAGCAGTTCAGGTGAGCACAACAACGCCGGATAACAAAAAAAAAATCATTTTACGGCACGTAGAAACATGAATTTCTCAGGTTCGATGTAACTTAGGCACACAGACATGACCACGGCAATGAACAAACAACAATTGAGTGTTTACATAAACGTCTTTAAGTAGAACCAACATGTTGATGCAAGCGTAACACAGTGCACGATCAAGTGTTTACGTTGCAATGTTGACGCAGGTTTAACATAGAACAGCTAATGAGACATGTGAGGGCTGCAGTATACGCAGAATTTTGTACTTTTCGCAGGTAAGTTATCCGAGAGCTATAGGCAAGGCCATGTTCTTTCTTGCGGGAAATCAATTGATTGATTGATTGGTTGATATGTGGGGTTGAACGTCCCAAAAACCACCATATGATTAGGAAAGACGCCGTAGTAGAAGGCTCCGGAAATTCCGACCACATAGGGTTCTTTAACGTGCACTCAAATCTGAGTACATGGGCCTACTGCGAGAAATCGAATATGTATTCATTTTTTATCGTAAATGTTCAATACTATCTTTGGTGCATTACAAGCAGAGTAATTTTCCAATTCATCACTTCCGAAAGGAGGCAAACATTCGATGAGATGCCATGTTATCTGACTAATGACTAATTGACGTTATAACATAAATATATTACATTATACATAATATTCAATATATTTGATAATGTGTATTGCGTTATAAATATATGGGAGGGTACATCCCCGAATCTGTGAAATAGTTTAATTTTAAAAACCTAATTAGCTTTATGAGCATTCAGAAATTTCTTGTGAGACATCAGCAAGGTAATTTTACAATAAGGGCATCATGGTATCCCCAGTCTTTTTTGTATGGGCAAAAATTTACCTAATTTTGCACTGTTAGCCAAACTAAAAACAACGGACAAGGAATTAGTGTTATATACGAATATACATAATGGAACATCAACAAGCTTGATCTGTAGAATACTTAACGAGTAGTTTATATATTTGATTCACTTATTTTACATCTGATTTCAATAATAGACACAACATTTCTATGATGTTTTATTAAAAAAATTCAATTATAACTTGATCTGAGGTAGCTAAAAAATTGGTAGCACACCCCCACTGCTCGTATAAGTCGGAGGAGGGTAGAAACAGTTAGATTATGGCAATACAAGGAGCTCCGCGAGGTAGGACTTAACATTTCACTACCGTGCTACACTATCTTTATCACAGTTTAACATGAAATTCAGGTTATCAGAACTGCTTCCGGTGCGATATGGCACAGAGAAATTCGCTTTTCACAAAACAAAGCAAGTTTTTGCGACGTCCGAGTCGTGTTTAAATAGTCCTATAATTTTTTCACTATGAAGATGGTTTCAATGCGATTCTGAAAGTTCAGTGCTACATATATATGCTCCTAGTTTTTCGGCATTTCCTATTATGAACGTTTTAGCTTAATTTTTATCCCAAGGCCATAATATTAGTAGTGTACAAGGTCGTTGTTCATGAAAGAACAACGCAAAAATATGGTTAAGCCTATAATAAGCAGTGACTGCATAAAGGGTATGGTTTCGCAAATATTCTTACGCTGTGAAAGATGGCTATAGCAAGTGTCAGTAAGCGGAAGAGCATCTCTCGGGAGTGATTTGTTGACAGCCAAGATAACCGCGAAGGAGCATACGTTGCATGGCAGGGCTCACTTTTTTGCGCCACCGTATAATAGGGGGAGCTTCGCAGGCACCTGATAGGTTGTGCCTATAGTTATTCTGACCACATCTATAAATGGCGCAAGAAAATATCTCTTTCTCTTGTCATCATTTGCTGGCGCCTTCAGCTGTCAGGTAAAAACAATGCACCAACCTGCTTCCTTTCATAAGTGACCACCTCGTGCATGTAAATGACAGCGAAAACCTCATACATGCTTTTCTGATATGAAACGAAAAGCTGAAGGGAACACAATGACAACTCACCTTTGCAGGCAGTGGGCCGCTGTAAGTATCCACCGTTTTCCGATAATTGTGCCACCGCACTCATGCTGCCCATTTATTCTCAACGATACCTGTAATGCACAAGAAAAAAAATCAGTAAGCACACGTGCACGACAGTGCAGCATTTTATTTTGTTCACAGTCTTAGCTATGTTTACGCTTTCACGTGTCACCGGAGCTGTCGACGCTGGCGGCAGAGCTGGTAGGGACACCTTGTAGCGATTTGTTCAACTACAACACCTCTGCATTTTTTTTTTCGTTGCGTTGCAGTACTTGTAAGAACAAGATAAAATTACTATGAGCTAATAAATATTTAAGTGACAGTGCTTCACACCTGCACTTAGTTATTGCCTAAGTGTTAGTCACTTCAGTATTATGTCTCGGAGTGTCCTGCATTCGCAGGTGCCACTCTCCGCGTTGGTAAAGGGGTAACCAGTCGACGTACAATCTAAACTTCTCGTGTAGCTGTGCGGTGCTCGAAACTGTTCCTTCCCATACAAGTATGCACGTTTTGCTGTGCTATGCAAAACGCGCACATAAAAGCACACTTACGAACATACGTAACACGAGGTTGAACGCTGCTGTCTCTGCCTCTATCCATCCCTTTCCCTTGACGTGACGCAAACCGTCGCGTGAAAATAAAGTTAAGGTGCCTATATTTTGGGGCAAGAGTCAAAATAATAGCCTTAACCTTCATTTTTTTCAGTAATGAACTTATGACGGTGAAAGTTATGACAGACAATTGTTCTTGAATAAATTGTCGTTCCAAGGTGACAGCTTTTTACATTATTGTCCCTTTCAGAACTCCTTCCTGCTTCCCCACCCCTGCCCATTTTTTTATTTGTTGACTTTTGAAAAGCGTGATAAATTATATACAGTAGACATTGGGCAATTATTTATAAGAATGATGTAATGCTGAGTAAACGCTTGTGCTTCCCCACTAATCTAGCAAGCGTGAAGGGACGGCCATGAACGCGTGTCGTCGATCCGTCTCTTAGACTGCTCATCACTCGCTGGCACCGTTGTCTATTCAAGCTGGGGAGTGTATTGAAACGAATACCCAATGAAGGAGAGGAAGCAAAGTGGAGTATAGTGATAGGCATAGCTCAGTATCGGTACCACTCTGAGCGGAAACACTGAGTTGGATGTAAATGGAGGCTAACTCTGCTCGTTACATGCCAGTTTACTTAGACCGGCTATGCGTTGATTGTCTGTTAGTATTCAGACCGATAGGCTGAACTCTCCTTCCATATTTCAATTCTCTTCTTTCTCTTTGTACTGTGGTGCGCAATGCTTTCTTAGGCGACTTGCATGGGTGCCAGAAGGAAAGTTAACGCAAAAGGGTCACCTTCCCCCCTCAAGCTCACCATTGATATATATGTGGGTTCTAACGTCCCAATACCACTATATGATCGCGAGAAGCTGTAGTGGAGGGCTCCGGAAATTTAGGTCACCTGAGGTTCTTTAACGTGCACCCAAATCTGAGCACACGGGCATACAACATTTCCGCCTCAATCGAAAATACAGCCGCCACAGCCGGGATTCAATACCATGATTGTGGGTCCACAGCCGAGTACCTTAGCTGCTAGACCACTGCGGTGGGGCCCTCAAGCTCACCGTCACCGGCCCCCTTATCCAAAGGAAACAAGCACTGCCCATCCCCCTCCCCACGTCTCTTAACACGATGCAGCCGGGTTTGCACCCTCTAGATGAAATCTTGCTGCAGATGATTTGCACAGGTTAGCTTTGTTTTCAACTTCTTATCACTATTAAGCAACAAAATAACCGAACACAAGTTCGAAATACCTCTTCCATTTGAAAAAAAAAGAAAAATAAGACGAATGCTCAAACACACGTGGAATCGAACTCCATACCTAACGCTCAGCCCCCGTGACCAACACTACGGTTCATGCGCGAGTAACAGTCTCAGTTTGAAGGTAGTAAAGAAGCCGTAATACTTATCACAGTGAGATGAGCAGAGGAATACTAAAAAGAAAGAAAAAGAAATCGGCTTTGTTCGGGAAAGAAGTTTTTTTTGTGTGTGTGCATCCGAAAGGGAGCCCAGCTGAGTGTCCTTAAAAGGAGAAGGAAGAAAAGTGAGAGAAGAAAGCGGAAAGTAAGCCTAAAGCCCCTATACTTTCGGAGCTATAAAGGCTATAATCACACCCAGTGCCTCTCACATAGGAAAAGGACGACTACATATGCACTTGACCATCCTCTGCGTGTGGCCGCCCAGCATGAAATGCGGCTCCTCCTTTCCACTCTGCATCTCTAACCACGCTCATTACAGTGAGTTTTTTTTTTATTGCTGAATATAATACCGTAGAACCTTGGTGAAGCGATCATGAATCGTACGAATATTGAGATATGAATTTTTCTGTTGTGTCAACCAAGCCCATCAGCCTGAAATTGAATGAAGTATGGTCGTTTTGAACAGTTTTTTTACCAGGCGACATTTGATATGAACTTACACTACCACACAGTTTCGAACAGGTCGCCCATGGAAGAGACAGCTATCCCGCACAGCCGCGATAGCACAAGCACGTGCATTGACGCCGGGTGGTATCCTCAGAGGTTGTGCATGCTAATCATAGAGATTACTGATGGCGTCTTTTTTTGTTATTTTTCTGCCCGACGTGTGCTGCTGTACGCTTGACAGCGGTGGTTCGTTGCATTTACACGTGCATATCACATCTGTGCAAGCCATGTCCTCGCAATCAAGCCTCATATGAAAGGAAGACGAGAACATGAATAGAAAGGGATGGTCCTGGTAAAGGAGCTAGGCCTCGCAACGTGCAACGTCAGCACGTCCTATTTGCACGGGAGAGACTTGAATGATGAGTGAACATCCCAAGTCAACCTCCCGCATGCAAACCTCTTGCGATAAGAAATTAAGAAAAGACAGTGGTGCCAAAGTTTTCTGGCCTTTATCACTCGCGTTCAAAGCGCTCCTTTGGTACTTTTCGCCGCAGTACTACTGTGTCATGAAAAAAGCGTGCTAAGATTAGGAAGGGGCTACTAGCACTCAAGGGGCATATGGTTCCGTGCAATCGCCGTATATTTACGACTATAGGTATAATTTTACAAGACGATATATATAGTCTTTTTTTGGGGACCTTCAACGCCAAAATTTTGGTCTGTCTGTATGGCTGTACATTTGTCTGTTTGTCAAACAATACCTCAGACGTCCAATTACATCCGCAGCGCCTACCAATATTGCTCAAGCTTCAGCATTCATACTTGTGCGATTGTCAATTAAAAACAATTATTGCGCATATCTGAGGCACCATAACAACACCTCGATGTTTTGTATATGTGGCTTTATACTAATGAAGGCACACATAATTCTAAGGACCGCAGTGTTTATCACGCTGCGCTGACAGTGGAACGCGATGCTCGAAAAGGCACATGTTTCCAACGCTTTGCTAAGATGACACGGTGGGGGCACCTGCCCATCGCTTTGCGTTCTACCCCTTATCGCCTCTGAGACAGGCGCGCATCTTTCTCCGGGGGCGTGCACGCCTTCCTTCGTTTTCGAAGATAACTGCCAGATGGCACTCGTGTCTAACGTGCCTCGATGCGCTCGTTCGCCTTCGCTGCACGAATCGAGACTAACGCAGCGCTTCCAGAAAACAATTCACTAATTTTCTCGCGAAGAACATCAAATAAACGTTTTGTTCACTCTCTCCACACGCAAGACTATCGTCTTCCGACGACATTAGCAGTGAAACATGTAGGTACGGGGCCAATTTTTACACCTAAAAACTTTACCCACCACGGTTATCTAGCAGATATGGTGAAAATGTGAAAATTCTTGAGTGAAAATCCCGTGTGTTTAGATTTATGTGCATGTTAAAGAATCGAAGCTGGTCGAAATTTCCTAAGGCCTCCATTATAAAGTCTCATTTATATGGTGGTTTTGGGATGATGAACACCAGAATTTATTACGCTTAAAATTTTTCTGTGAATCATTCAGAGCTGTTAATTAAGTTGCTGCGGCACTAAGAAAAAAAATAATGAGAACGCACGCCACCTTTCTTTCGTCTCGAACTTATTTTCTAACTTTACTGGAGATTTTTATACCTATAGAGATTTACTTCATCAAGGCCTTACTGTAATATATTGGGTTTTGTGTCCCAAAACCACGATAAGATCATCAAGCAAACAGAAGATTTCGACTATTTGGAGTTGTTTAACGTGCACCGACATCCCGCAGAACATTGACCTCGTGTTTCACCATCGAAATGCATTCGCCATGGCCGGAATTGAATCCGCCACTCTCAAGGCAGCAGCCGAGCATCGTAAACACAACCACCATGGCAGCCACCTGTTCAGAACAGTGATTGCTGCCCGCAGAATGTGTTCTTAATTTCAGCAAGCCCATCGTTCCACCCTTTTTAACTGAATCATACGAAAAACAAGCCAGTTTTGTCTGGCCATTCTTAAATCGTTATTTTTTTCCTTTGCTTTTCTGCGAGTTTCTGTTGCTGTTTCTCTCAGAAGTTTACCAAATCAGCAAACAAACTGCGAAATTTTCTGTTCGGCAGCTTACAGAGCTTGCAACAGCAATTGCGATTACAAGTTACTGACTATTGCACCTCGTCAGCAAGAAACAAGTAACAAGGATCCAGTTTATTCGACAGTCACTGCTTTTACGGAAGAAGCGTATTGCAGGAAACCACCCATACGTGAAAACATAACAAGAACACGAGGGATAACAATTTATCTACAGGCCAATCCCTTATCAATACAACAGGTCTTGCAGGAAGTAAAAGCTAACATGACTTTAATGGTCGATTAATAAGGATAATTACATACTCGGGCAGGTAGCAATAGAAACAAAGACGCGGGCAGTAACAGAGACACGAGAGAAGCGCGAACAACAAACTGACGTTTATTCTCGGAAGACACACATATTTATGGAAAACAAGAATAAGAAAACCACATCATTGCCCACAGAGATCTCATCCCGCTCCCAAGAAGACAATAGATAAGAAAATACCGTAACATTTTTATCGGCTCCTGTATCGAAAGCCAAACGAGCAAAGCACGAAGCAGTCGCAATCATAAACGCCAATAACTGATGCCATGCGCACTTGTGTAGCGATTGCTCGGGCAGGAGGGTATATCACTAGGAAAACAAAGGTGTCAGGTTAGCTCCAAGGAAAGCTTTCGCACAGGTTATAAGGTTCAAAGAAGGGTGGCTTACACTCACGAGATGGCTCTTTCGAATAAAAAAAAAATATGTATATATTGGAGAATCACTCTGTACACCTTTCCCCGGTTCCGCTAACACACTGATGTCTTATTAAAGAGCGGATCACAATCACAGTGCCGAAACTGTATCGCGATAAGAGAATATAGCCTTCTTATGCAGTACTTGTCTTGTTCCTTTATTACTTGCTGGTGTCTGTTGGTGGCATAAAACACGAGAGTTTTATGCCGGGGTCCACTGCGTCTCCACTGAAGTACTTCCGTCACTGAAGCGATGTTGAAAAATATATAGAAAGAAATTGCAAAGAAAAAGTCTCAAGGCCACCATCCGTCACGCGGAATGGAACCAGCAACTTCTCGATTCTCAGCGCGCGGCGTCAACCACTACGCCACAAAGCGTACGTTGTGTGAAGTGCTAACGATACCATACACCGTTCGGCAGTCTTTAGAGCTTCGAAACTTTAGCCCGTTTTTGTTATCAGTGGTGAGATGGCACGATGGTCTCGCGTTCAATGTGCTCTCAAGGTCGCCGCCTCCACGAAGCGCCGCCCCCACGGAGCGTGGTCTCTCCTGCGCACGCGCTTATCGGACTCGCAATTCGGGAGAAGACGAAGGTCACTCCTCAATTACTAAAGAAGCGCGCTGCTGACACACGACGAAAGAACAATTGTGACAGTACGCGCTCGTCCTGTGTATGCTAATTTCGTGCGTGCTTTTTGCTTGAGGTGTGTGCTGCAAGTTTCGAGCTGCTTTCCGTTCGTAATGTGACTTCGCAATTTGTTGTTGCTCAGACAATGCACAATAAAAGCTGTAAAGACAAGTTTCACTTTCGTGTTACACCGATTCCACTATAGGGGGATCAGCCACGTTTTTTGCGTTGACTGTAAACTAATAATTCTAATAAACTCGCCCATATTTCTGTTGTTGCAAAAGTAATTATTTGTCGTGTTTTACGTGCCAGAACGACATAATGAGTATGGCCCACGCCGTAGGAGGAATCTCCAAAAATTTTTACCATCTGTTATTTAACGAACTCACATCGAACAGAACAAGGGCTTCTATGTATTACGTCGTTATCAAGTACGATTTAAGCAGGGCAAAGGCCTCTCCCATGGTTAGCCAATCAGTATCGCCCTGGGCTTGCTGTACGTGGCCGAGTTGTCCCCCCCGAACTTTTTAGTCTCATATGCCCACCTATAGCGTTCTACCTCCCCTCACGCCTCCATCAATAGCCACGGCCGAATTCGAACCCGTGACTTTCAACATATATATAGTTCACCGCCTCCTTGAATGTTAGGAAGTTTTCTAATAGCGTACGCTATTCGTTATGGTCGCGGGCACTGCGCGTGTGTCATAACGCTAACCGCCGTTACAGTTCGCAATCCGCCCACGAAAAATCCGAAATAAAGTGCGGCCCGCAAGAAGCGCATAACCCCTTCATGCACGCGACGCGAGCGTGCATCAGCGTGGGGTCAAACGCCATTCGAAAACTCATACGGCGCCCCTACGCGAACGCTACGCCCTCTTACTTAGCGTACGCTATTCAAAAACTTCAGAAAAACCCCAACGTATACTCACAATCCAGGGAAACTCGCCGTCGTAGGCGTCTCGGCCTCCCACGATGCGGCTGCGGCGCACCAACTGCCGGCCGCAGCGGCAGCTCCTCCTGAACGCTGCGTGAAGACAAGAAGCGAACGAACGGGACACGGGTTTGGTTTGCAGACTCGTCCAGCAGCGTGCGCATGCGGTGCTATTACATGCATATCGAAGCGCGCGTTCAACTCGTTCAACCTCGCACGCAACTGGCCTAGCTGCGGCCTGATCGTACGGTGGCACACTTTGCTTCGAATGTCACTCGCCCTCGACGATGCGCTCACGCGGCCGTGACGCGGTCCACCGTGCCGCGCGCTGTTTTTCCTCGAGCGATAGCTACACGTGCCAGCTTGCATAAGGCGAGACGTCATCGCTGGGTAATCGGCCTTAGTGTGCACACTGTTTTAACGCCGAGCGTGCCGCGCAACAAGAAAAGCTGGCGCGCTTTCTTTTTCATGCACTGCCTCGAATGCTCGCCCGGTTTACGTTCGATGTTCTTTTTGCTAATGCATTTCCGTTCCCGTTTCAACGTTGCGGCGAACGTGTAGGGACGTTCGCGAAATGCGAACTGTCCACGCAGTCTCCAAATGGCGATACGACCGTTACGCTGCGCAGCTGGCCGCACAAAGACCTTTAGAAACACTGTTCTTAAGAATATATTCTTAGTTCTGCTAAATTGAAACATTCAAGCTGCAGCCGGTATTGAAGATTATTGCGGGAAAAATATAAAGTTTGAACACCTTCAATTACGTACATGTCAGTGAACTGAACTACTAGCACAGACACTTGGTTAATCTTGAATACTGAGCCAGAAACAGGGCAAAGTCATTGTACGTAAATGCATTACCATAACATTTCGGAGTGCAGCTCTCACAGAAGCCGATCATTTGACGATTATACAGTACACTTATTTGAGCGTGCTCTGGATCCTCAGTGCGTAATATTTTCGACTGCTTTAACAAATTAGGAACCAGAGCACGGCTAATAGGGCAAGTTCGAACTTTCTGCACGTTACGTGCGAGTCGTAGAAGAGATACCAGTCAAGTATTGTTGCAAAACGATGTAGAACTTTCGCGCTGCGGAGAAACAAAAAAAAAAAACGTAGGACACCGAACACTTACCTGCGTCGACGAACGGTGCGCTGACCAGCAGACACGCGGCAATCACAACGAGAAGCCAAGACCGAAGTCCCTCTGTCCACATCCCTCAACACGCAGCCCCCTTTAATGCCTAACACGTCTTTGTTCCTTTCTTTCTAAATGTTTCCAGCTACGGGACTACGGCCCAGGAATCGGAAAGAACGCAACGATTGAGACACTTCGCGTTCTCGTATCGGCAACGCAAGTGAGGAGCTCGTCGACCCTGCGGCCGAGCACGAGGGCTGCCGATCAACGCGCCGCGGCCGCCGAGAGAAAGTGCGTCGTCGCGGCAGTGGGGAAAACGTAGCGTTTATAACGCACCTCTCGGAGCGGCCGGGCGGATGAGAATGTGGGTTAACGGGAGCCATCCTCGCTTCACTTAACAGAGGCTTGTTCGCCCTCAATTTTGCCCGCGCTATCTGCAACGCGGAACTGTCGATGACGGATCGCGCGTAACGTGGTTTGGTGACTGCAGTGCCACCTCGTGTACAATCGAATCAAGAAAGTTTGCTTTGCTAGATACTGTTTTGAGGCTCACACGGAGATGACCGTTAAAAGGATTAGATGAACGGCTGTGCAAGAGATCGCATACTACGCACCCTCAGTCGTCCATTAAGGTATCGGATTATATCGTGTAATCGGGTACGGTAAGCCTATACACGCATATTCTTATCAACACTTGCGTTTTTGCCAGGCTGCATTTTCGGGGAGCTAATCATGTGGACCGTATTGTCTTATACGAGGTTGACGCTTGGGCTGGTTGGTAATATGAAAAGGAAATCTGATTCTCAATGCACAGAACATACGAAGGAAAAAAAAAAACCGTGACGGCGTGACAGAGGACACTCTTGCAACCAGATGTATTGCTTAGATTACGAGGTTGGGGTAGAAATCCGAGAGAGGCAGTGAATGGACACAGCATGATTTCTGATATGTTCAAAAGAGCGCTTACTTAGCCGCGGTGGTTGACTATAACCGTTACGGTGATGGAATCTGGGACCTTCTGCGGAAGGTCGCAGATTCTATCCCGACCGTGGTGGCCGCAATGCACGTTAAAGGGTATAATAGAAGTTTCCGGAGCCTTCCATTATAACGTGCCACATAACCATATCATGGTTCTGGCACGTAGAATCCCGGATATTAAAGACCGCTTACAGGCAGCGCATATTCAAGCACCCTTCGAATTTCATAGTGTACATCTTGAGCGTTGATGCGTTCTTTTCACCATCTTCCGTTGTTTGCAGTATGTGTGACGTGTGTGACTTGAATTTGTATAGACGCTGCCCAAAAAGAAGTTATTGCAACAGATGTGTCACGGCATTTTCCGCGTTACCGCTCTATGATTGGACACTCTGACTGTGAGTGAGAAGCTTTCTGTTGCACCATAAAAATTGACTGTCAAGCTTGATGAACTATTTGCGCTGAAAGTTTTCCTTGAATACAGTGGCATTTTTGGCCGATATTTGTGCAATTCAGTTTTTCTTATATATACGTGACAGTTCATAATTATGGAACTATTGACTGTTGAGTTGAGTATGTGACTGTTATGTTGACAATTATGTGACTGCTCGGCGTGCACAGTGGGTTCTGCTTTTAGTTAACATCACCATATATGCACGTATATGTGATTGTTCAGTACGTTGTTTATGCTAAAACTGTTATGCTAAATAGTATATTCTATGTGCTGTGGACTTGCTGTGCTTGGAGACTTGTACATTCCGTGAACTTTGTTATTAGGCACTTTTAAGCGATAAAGAGTGGTCGGTGCCCTATTGGTGCGCCAACATGTCCTTACATCCCATCAGTAAAAAAAAAAGTCGCATTCATGCATCCCCATATTTTTTTAAAACGTACTGGTGGGCTACATGGTAGGACATTGCAGCATGTGACAGCGCACATCAAGTGAAACAAAGAACACGCATACAAATGTATCATCCATTTCTGGGTGTGTTCTTTGTGTAACCTGGTGTGTGCTGTTATGTGCTGACCACTTACTTTTTTTCTGTTGTGTTTAGCGTGGAGTGGTGAAGTACTCCACCTTGACACTGATTAGAGCTGACAGTGAGCACTTCAGCAGCTTTAGCGCAGCAAAGACTTTCGGTTCCTTATTCTAGGAAGCACCATACATATATGGTCGGTGCAATGCGCCATACGCGCTAATTTGGTTCGGTGATGACGTAGTTCCGGCAGCCGGCCTCGGAGTTCACTGGCTTCGCGTCGTAGTCTCAGTTGAGTTCCAGATAAGTCGGACGAGGACGCTTTGAAGCCGCATACGGTACTCATTGTCACTCTGTCTGTCTGTATACATTTTTTCATGGGTGATTGCGAACGTGCATTACATTGTCCGTTAGCTCATTGGGTATTCAATGATGGGTCTGCAGAAAAGCACCAAGTTGGGATAGTTGGCTGACGTTCATTTCCATAAGGTTTAACTCTTCTAATGAAGAAAAAAAAGACAGAGTAAGCAAAAGACAGTACGTGCAAAGTACAACTAACACTGCATTGAGAGAAATACGCGATATATACTGCGGACAATATACTGCATGAGCTCATTGGCGAGACAAGGTCACGTGAACGCTTCAGGCAGTCAGTCACAATCTAGCTTCTAGACACTGTACTTCACACTCGGCAGGTAGTACTGACAGATGGCTGACGCACCTCCATGTTTTCTTAGTCACGAAGGTCTCGGGGCTCTCGTGTATTGCGGTTCTCATGATGATACAAAACTCTGCTTTCATCCTGAAGTGGGTGGAACGCCTTCAGTATTTGCTATTGAAGGTCCCTGCAGTAATATGCCACATGGAAATAACCATCGCATGAATACTTCTTCGAATGTTCTTTTAAACTACCCGTATAGCCAATATACACAAGAGCACAGGTGAAAGGGAACTCATACACATAGGGCACAAGCACAGGTGACATACTACAAGGTCTTTTACTTTAAGCAAGGTCGCAAATATGGTAAGATAGTTCGGTAGCAGTCTTCCTTTCCAGTGACATCGCATTTCCCGTGAGACAGGTTCCTCGTAACAATACGTAGGTTGACAGGTCACAACAAGGTGGGACACATGCCACGGTTGTCTATTGGCTTGCTGACCCACAGGTCACGGGATCGAATCCCGGCGGCGGCGGCCGCATTTTTGATGTAAGCGAGAATTCTTGAGGCCTGTGTGCTTTAATTTAGGTGCACGCTAAAGAACCCTAGGTGGTCGAAATTTCCGGAGTCCTCTACTATGGCGTCTCTCTATGTCAACCCCACAGTATTTTTTTCAGAAAAATTTTGTGGTGTTCGGTTGTCTCCACGGGTAAACGGTCAACGACAGCAGGGAAAGTATAGGAGCGTGACAGCAATACCGCAACGAATTTCCCCGAGTTGCTAAAACACCCTAGAATGGGGTTGCATGGCCGGTGTGAACACGAGTGGGTGTCGCGCCAGGAGCAGTTATCAGAACAAGTTGCAAAGAAAAAAAAAAACTTTATACCCATTGTAGAGTACTAACAAGTTTGCAGTCTTCGTCAGCGGGCGCCGTGCTCTTCGGTAAGCCTGACCAAATAGGAAAATTGGGGTCCACCCCCACATTCTCCTCTCGATATGGTTGCCAGAGGTCCAGCAATCCTGCACCACTTGCTGATGAGTAATGATGATCCGGCCCTTGCCTCCAAAAGTGAATGTCTTGCCGACGACGTATAGTGTGTTGAGGTGGGTGACGTACAGGTCTGATGAGCCTTTTGAGGAACAAGCACCTCGGTTACATCACTTGCCTTCCTTGGGCGGCATAAGGCCGGTCTGATAAAATCTGCGTGGCTTCAGTCATGTGGCATAGAAGGTATGCGCGGAGCTTAGTTTTTTCCTGTTCATCCTGCTCATAAATTTGCTTTGCAGCCTTTGAGAAGCCGCGTTGAGCGACAATCGGCGTCGTTGGTCGGGGCCGGCAAGGCAGTGGCACTACGATACCCCTTCTTGTGGTCAATGTGGCAAACAAAATGATGATTTGTCAATTTTTCTCATTACACGCACACACGAATGGACCATTCCTTTTAAAGGCGAAGATCCAAAAGTCGTGGTTCTGTCCATCATTTCTACATGATCACCTAGTTGTATGATGCGCGCTCTATAGTGTGATGGACGGATGGACTGACAGACAGATGAACCTACAGACAGAAAGGCAGACTGATGGGTGGACGGACGGACGCTTCGTCCCTCTCATCATTATTCACTTTGGAAATATGCTGTGTATTTCTGCTTTTTTTTTTTGGGGGGGGGGGGGTACAACTTGTTCACCATAGCAGTCCGTAACTTACTTGAGATTATATGATACCTCATGCTGATAAAGAATCTCAGCCTAACATTTTTTTTTGCTTCCAATAGTTGACACGCGCCGAGGCAGAACGTCGCTTTTAATCCTCTCGATTATTTTGTCACAGGGCGCTGCAGTATAAGATAGCTCTGATACCCAGCCAGTCAATGTGGTCACCTGGTGTGTGACACTATCTTTTACGACGTGGCCGCAAGATTTAAGAACAGCACCAATGCTGGACAGAACAATTTCATTTTTAAAGCCTTTGAGTGTAACATCATTTTTAATTACCATGATTAAAAAAAGCCTTCAGCTATGGCTCTCCTTATGTTGCATGTGTTCTTGTTTGTACTAGCCCATTTAAAGCATTGCAGAATTTGTCTGCATGTTGGATTGGTTTATATTTGTGGTTTAACGTCTCAAAACAACCATACGATTATGAAAGATGCCGTAGTGTAGGGGTCCGGAAATTTTGACCACCTGGGGTTCTTTAACGTGCAGCGAAACCTGGGTAGACGAGCCTACAGCATTTCCACCTTCATCGAAAATGCAGCCGTCGCAGCCGGGATACGATCCCGCGACCTGCGGGTCAGCAGCCGTGTACCTTGGGCACTATAGACCACCACGGCGGGTGCGAGCTGCTTCGGCATCTTGTGACTCAGAGCCAGAGGACCGGAGTGGTCAGCCGAAACAAAAGTACACTTTTTAGAATCATCGGTAATATAAGAAAGATACAAACTGACACGTAGACAACTATTGGTTGCATTTTTAATTACCCGATGCTCAGTCTGGTGACTAGTTTCGCATAGTTTCTATTTTTATGGCAGCTCTTTTGAAAGTGAGGGCAAGTGCTGAGTGAGTGCTGTGCAATCATTTTTCGTGAAGAGCTGCAAAATTAGTTATAAAAAGCGCAAACGTTTCTAAAACGTAAAACATTGTTTTTGATGCGTGAACATGGCAATGATGTACACAACGAGGAAGCTGTCGTATGACTGACTAAATGAGAAGGCAAAAGACCTTCAAAAATTATTTTTTTTCTTAAAACTAAAATTCGAATGAAAATATTTGACTCATAAGAACGGCTACTCATTTGCTTTCGATTAAGGTACAAAGTTTTTAGGAGCAACACATGGGTATTGTGTTTCAATATATGAGCCAAAATGAAGATTTCGTCAATTATGTGACCTCTAGTAAAATTTAGAAGTATCAGTGGTCTGAAAACATTTTCAACGTCAAACGTACATTTTGTAGAGTAAACATCATCGCTCAGCCATTCAAACATAACACAACATCATATGAGAAAATATTTAAACATGGAACATTTTGACATATCGTCTGAAGGCGAATATTGCGAATAATTCAGTATTCGAAGTTCGAACATGTCTCTGCTTAGTAACTAAACCAAATTTAATACTAAAAGAAAAAAGCGATGCTCTATTGTCACCCTTTTCTGACAAACCGTACTGAAGCGATATTATTAGAAATTTGGAACGCTCCGAGTGAATGTCGATGAATGACGATGGATGCCGTTGGGTATGAGAGAATGATTTTGTGCGCGATTCCTATTCCTATATAGCAATCATTCACGTGGTTATTTCGCTGGTGTATTTCTTCTGGCCACGTGGAGTGATCAGCATTTCTCCGAAGCAACGAAGTGACGCCCATTAGTCAGATGTTCTTTTAAAACCCAGAAGCTCTTCGTGTTATGTATATTGCAAAGTTGTTAGTGCGCATGCGCGAGCAAGTTTGTATTCAACCAATCAGATATTAAAAAAAAAAAAAAAAACTCGGGGACAACTTTCTGTGACCGTGAAGGGAGAGCTACGGGCGAGGAACTACAGCACATGTCGCCTTCCGGTAAGGAGTCCGGCTCAGACTCACTTTTCGAATGCCAGCCGTGTTCGAATATTACCACTGCATATAATTTGCTACGCCTGCTTACACAGCTATTTGTGAGCGAAACTCGACACAAGCTTTTTTGGCGAGTCGTCGAAATAGCTGGAGGGCGACGAGCACACGCCTAAAGACAAATACGTCATTTTGACTGGGACTGTGACGCCATTTTTACCTGCCATTTTGTGCAGGTAAAGCGTGCGACGTTTTCAGGCGCGCAAAACCGCGAGATGACACTTCATCCGGCAATACAAGTATTAATATCTCCTGGGTTCATGAAGCATCTAGTTATGAACAGCATTCTGTACAAAATAATGTTTTTTTTTATTAGCTTCTCGAGGGAAACAGAGAAGCATTTGTGAGACTATATTCTTCTGTGGTGGCACACGTTCGCTTTGGTTCCGTTACCTTCCCTTCATTGCCAAAAAAACTTGTTTCCTCCACAAAATAGATGGCAACCTGTTTTCTCTTTCCTCATTCACCGTTAACCAGTGCATTTTCTTTACTTCGTTTCTCCTGTTTTATTGTCGCACAGGGTGAACACACAATGAGGCGTGATATTCCTGCAGTGAACTTTGAATAGCCTTTGTGGTGCTTCCGCACCTTCACTGGAATGTGGAAGGGGGATCGTGCTTGGAGCTAGAAAAAGCATTCTCGGAACGATAATTCTGGTTTGAAAAAGTTGCTGCGGGAAAGCCAACTTTTACAGGTCTTTTTAAAGCGTAGGCAATAGGTGCGCTCACTGCTTTGCAAAGTGTCCCTTGTGGCTTTCTCATTCTTGGGTGACAAAAAAGATGTCGACAGCAGGCTAGTGTGCGGAACGTTTGTTCAAACCTGCTCTTGAACCGCTCCTTTGTACAAAAGCTTAGCAACGGTGAGTTCTTTTTGGCAACGGTGCATTCGTCATTGGAGGTCTGTGAATAGCTCTGCAGATTTCCTCCGTTTTTTATTTTTCTATTCTAATGATTCTAACTTGCTCGTAATGTCCGACTACTTACCCCCCTTTTTTGTTTTTTTTAAACCGGGGTCACATGTGGTACATTGGCTATATGACCCAGTCGGGAACACTCCATGACAAGTTTTCTTGACAGCACTGTGGAAGTTTCAGAACCGAAGTGCATGCCTGCTACCGCGTGAAGAAATAGTACTATCGCATTATGTTTTGCTGAAATAAATGTTGCTTTATTCGTTATGACAGTTGAACTGTTGCGGGAAGTCATGGGTAAAATACAGACATTGTTGACTATAAAAAAAATGTTTTACTTTACTTAAACAGCACTACCTTTTTCAGCAACTCGTATTCCCAAGTCAACATGGCGTCTATAACCTTGTGGGTCAGTCTGCGGCCGCAAAGGCGCTCTTTATTTCTTCAAGAAAAATATGCTCTTAGAATAGCACTAAAGTCTTCACCGAACCATCGCAATGTTTCTCGTAATCATTACATTCTAAATGCGTTAACCATAAAAGTTAGCGATACGGAAACCTGTCCCAAGCTGCCGTACTACTTGAGGAGCAGCACGAATGTGTGGAAGCCCTGCCTCCTTAGCTATAGTTCACTGTTTGAGCCCCACCGGCGAGATTATCGACAATGTGTCAACGCGAGTCAATTGAATCAACGAGAAGTATTACATTACAGAAGAGTGTAGGTGGCATGCAATGTTGGATGGACATTGTGAAAACAAATATTAAGTCTATGCGCATCATTAAACGACCGCCCTACAATCCTTGTAGTGCTCACGTCACAAAAAATAAATAACTATAGAAAAAAACGTCCATGCACCTTTTGCAATATTCAAGTAACCCATCTCCAAGGTTGAAGAACGAAGTCGCATACGTCATCGTGTTTCCCGAAGATGTGGACATAATTCTAAAAAATCAAAATGTTATAAAATATATGTAAAGAATAATGAGCATATAATTGCACAAACATCTCAAACCGTAAAAGTTCTGACCGAGAAAGTAACTTCTAAGAAACTGTAATATTTAAAGTAACAGTCAATTCAAAGAATAGTATAGGGCGTGTTATTACTGAAAATTGAACTAAACCTTGCAGCCCAAGCTTGCAGGTTTGGTTTCTGTCGACGGCAAGTAATATTTCCGTATCATTTGCTTTCTTCGCATTTATATCGTAAGTACTCAAAAACATTCCTTATATGGCCTTATCGCCCATCAGTTCTTCCAAAGTTTCATAGTTGCCTTCTTTCCTTCATTCGAAGAAAGTGGTGCGACAGGTTTTGGCGTTTAGTTACGACAACAATAGAAAAAGAACACATAGGTAAAGATGTAAGAAATGTTGAACAGGAAAGGCAATCCCTCAAATTCGTCTATGCGGACAACGAGCACCTACCTGTCAGCTAGTATTACAAGCAAACTGATATATTGCTTTAGGAAAGCAACTCTTCTCAGCGGGCACACGTTTTTTTCCTACTTAATGACGATGATTTCCTGCTGTTCGCTTTCTAACGGGTGGTTGTAATGACAGCCTAGCACTCACATAAGGGAAAAAAAGAAAAAAAAAAGATGGGAAGCTATGTCGCATTAGCACGCCGCTAGCGAAACGTACACGCTTTCCTTTCACTTAGCCAGTAAAGGAAAGGAATGTAAAAAAAAAAAAAAAAAAACCTCCAGCTTGACCTTTTCTAACTCTGAAAACAACTTTCACCGGCGCTGAGGAAAAGCCCCGCTCACAAGTCTGTTCCTTTCTTATCTCCTCGCCTTTCCACTGGCTGATGTGTACGCAGTATTCGCTATTGACTTCAACCCCCGGAGAAGAGTACATTCCCTTCGCAGAAGCGATACGTAGGTGAGAGTAGCGAAAAGTTCGGGCGAAATCGGGGTCACTGGGACGTAGCCCCCGCCACACCCTTTCCCGATCCCTTCTTTCTCGCTCACTCTCTCCCCCTCCCAATCCTCCTTCTGACGATGATCTTCCATCCGACTGAGCGCGCGTCCGATGACAAGCGGCCGTAACTAAACGCGGGGGCCCCCCAGTTTTTCCCTCGTCACGTTCACTTTTTTTCTTCTTTTGTCCAAGGTCCGCAGCGCACCCTATTCGTCACGCGACCACTCGCCTGACCAGACGCGGCGCGCAGACGTCCATCGCGTCACTATCAGCGCTTGTGTTGGTCGACTCGCGTGGTCGTCAGGAAATCGGACGTCGGAAGTACGCGGACCGTGAAGGCGCACGAAGGTATCGGGAGTACACACATGGCCAACCCGGTGCATCACGACCTGCTGGTGGTATTGACGGCGTGGCTTCTTTCCCACCCGCTTACGTCATCCGCTGCTGCTATAGGTGGGTTCATTTTCATTGTTGATTTCGCGACCTCCGGTTGGGGCGAGAATTTAGCAAGTTTGGGACTTAAGAAAAGGTGTAGCTAGCCCGAAGCACTTGTTCGGAAAATCACCCTTCGTGTGTCGCATCGGTTTATTGACAATTGTTTACTTCGTTACGCGTAACTCATAAATACGACTTACTTGAGCTTTTCTGCTTTGTGCATTGTTCTTTTTATTCACCTGATTATGTATTTACAAATTTACTACCGACTCTTTCGACAAATATACCTGGTTTTAGCTACGGAAATATTTCAGGATTCATGACTCTGTTGCCGCCTGCTCCTAGGTACCCTTTCAAACCCTTTTCTTTGTTCGGTTTCTACCTAGTCATTACAGGCGATGTATACACAGAATCGCTTGTTTTACTGATTATTCTATTGTATGTAAACAACTTGAATTAACGACACCTTTTCCTGTCGATGGCTTGTGCTTCCTGGGTACCTACCACCTTTTTTTTTGTCATTTGTGCCCCCGCCCTTGCTTAGCATTACTGATGCATGCTGTAGCGACAACATCAAGCTATATCCGACTTCCTTATTCATCCGAACTGTGTCTGCTTCACTTCCCACTGATTCACTGCCGCATTGCGATCACTCAGCTGGAAAGTGCACCTGAAGTAAATGACAAAAAGGCATAGTGCCGTTCACGGCTCATAAAGCTCACCGGGTGGCATTGTTTCCCTTGACACTGGATGCTCGGTGTTCGTACCTATTAAATTTGGCCGCGCCAGCAACCGGTACATTATCCAGGGAAACAAGGTATCGGCAGTTTTCCTTTATTGGCTGCCCATAACCATGTGACTTATCTGCCGCACATTTCTGGTGTACCTGTATTGCTGTTTTTTACCTTAATGTTTAGCTTTAAGCCGCCATTTAGCTATTTTTACTCTCCGACATTCCGCAACATTGTCAAGGGTAGTCAAGGACCTGAGCTTCCCTTACCCAACCTAACGTAACACGCCCCACAGGCATTTCCCAGGCAGATTGCGGCTAGATTATCCACCCCAGAGCTAGCTCGCAGACGAGCATCTCTAAGGTGGACAATATCACGCCTAGGTCGCGGTATTCCTCTAGCCTCGGCAGCACCAGATGAGTCTCGGCACACTCCCCAGAGAACGTCACTTGAAACCCTCCAAACTGCCGGTACCCGGTTGGTCGATATACTCTACCGGCTGCCGGTAATATAGACACTACCTTAAATTTTGGCACTCATGTGATTGTTTTCTTTTTCTTTCGCTTTCTTTATTACGCCTATCGTCACATTGTAATTGAATAATTAGTAGTAAAATGAACTATTCAATATTATTTAAATGGTGCGAACATGACGCTCCAGTAGTATAAAATGTTCATTGGTTATGCTTCGTCGCCAATATATCTTGTGTTCGCGAAGAATACGGGGAGGCATACAGGGCTGCACACTATCCCCACCATTGTGGTTCACGTGCCCAGACTCACCCCTCGGTTGTAACGAAACAGGTTTACCTTAAAACGGTCTTACAGGTTTCAGCCTGGCTAAACTGGTTACTTCTCACGCGCCAAGCTCACCTGCTTTGGCTCTCAGTTTCGCTGGGTTGAGCACAGAGTGCGTGACGGATTTGTCAGCGAATATTTTACGCGCACAAGGCAAAGCGCCTGACAATGGGCCTGCACGTGTCATTGCCCGTCCAACATTTTGGAACGTAGCCGAAAAAAGCTTTTATGCAGTGCCACGTGACATACTAGTCTGCTTAGTTCTACGAATCATGATGGGTGACTTGCAAAATCTAGCGTGACGGCCTTGAGAAACTTCCTTTTCTATGAATTCGGCCGAAGAACACAGTGTTCTACCTCAACACCGCCCATCCTAGAATCAGCTGCTACTGAACTCCAGCAGAGGGCAAGCCTCAGTGCACAACCTGAGGGGTTCGGTTGGTGCTTGTTCTGAACAATGGTTTCTCCGAAAGGGAAGAAGCACTTCACGAATGCACGAGGTGTTTCTTGGGGGAACGGGAGGGTGAAATTTTCTGCAGCCGTAGCGAAGCGTGGCAGCTTGGGCTAGTTGGTATGACATGACGATAGTTATAGCACGAGAACAGAACGACGTGTTCTGTTCGTGTCCTTCTTGTCTCTTTGTCGTCGTTCTGTTCTCGCGCTATAACTATCGTCCCCTTGTGCAGCTGTCTCGAGGCATCGGCACCGTCGACGGTGGGCGCACACTTTTCGCGCTTTCTTCTTTCAGTCCTTTTCCCCAAATGACGCTGGGGCAGTGCTACCAAGCATTGATGTGCCCCCTCGAAGAAATCAAAGAATAATTACACAAATTCGTTACGTTCATACATGCCAACTCCTCCGATTTTCCCGTAAAACGTACGAATTTCGATCGCGCTTACGATTTTACGAATCTTGCCTGTAAGTTTACGAAAAATACTTTATATACGATAAAGAAATAAACTCAGTTAAATTGCGTGGCCTCCACGATTGGCTGCGTCGCATTGCCGTAGCTAGTCGCGGAGGCCACAAAAACGGCGTTGTGCTGTAATCCGCCACCAGGAGAGAACAATATGTATTGGTGTTATCATCATCTGATGGTATTGTTTTTTTGTTGGAATAAGTAAATAAGGGCTTAGTCATTGGGGCTGGGAACCTAGTTTAGTTATTTGCAGGTGGCACCTCAGGTAGCCTTCACGTATACACAGCTGGGCTACGTCGGTGCACAAAATGCGTGCAGAATAACGGAAAAGGGGGGGGGGGGCAAGTTGGTTGTGGTTCATAGTGAATTGTATTGGGCAGCGTTAGGACGTATACAAGAACGAGAAAAGACAGGACATGTGCTGCGTATTTTGTCTTTCATCGTCTTTGAGTTTGTCCTAATGCAGCCCCACATAATTAAAAATAATGAACATGAGCACCGAGTTCACAACCCCCTTCGGCGTGCGTGACCTCCCCTCCCTCAAAAAAAAAAAAAAATTATTGCCGAGGCGAGGACGTCCGATTTTGTACTCCAGTGCACATCCATAAAGCAGGTGTCCGCTCTATTTTTAGGAAAGAATGTTGCAGGCGGCCTTTTGTGTGTCGACGGGGAGAAGTGGGACATTTTGCACGCAGTTTTGAGCGAAGAGCTACATTAATAACGATTAAATGGAAGGAAGTACACAAGGTGTTAGGCCAACATATAGTAAAAAAAGGCATTTTTTTTCTGTCATGCCTGGTGGCACACATCCTCCCACCCCGTTACAAAGAAGATAATCGTAGCGTTCATCAAATATTCCTAGGGCGACACGTGCTTAAAGTGAGATTTTAAATATGCTACACGTTATATTGTTAACATTAAATGGATCTATGTGCGTCCCCACAAGTTATCTCACCTTCAACAGTTTGTTTGAGTACTCAATAAAATAGAAAGCAGTATGACTAACAAAAGGGTTCAAGGGAAGTACACAAAAGAAGCAATTTGACAAGGTTGTTACAGCGAGGTCAGGAAGACTCGCCTATTTCACGCCTGAGCCCACAGAGAGAAGAGAGAGAAAAAAACAGAGGGAGGGATGGGTCTTACAGAAGGTGTAGCGAACCTGAAGGCTAATACGAAAGTACACATATTCTCGCATTCTTCAGCTTACCTGTAGGCGCTGCGCCATGCTCTCAACCGGGCTAAAGAAATTAGGCGCCGCCTTCTTCTAAACACCACCAGCTTACCTGCGCAAGTAGATGCATACTTTGCTTTCAAAACTATACGTTTTAGAACAGATGGACCTCGTGTCAAACAATAAGGCATGCCCTACTGAATAATCATAAGATACTTCCTTTCCTATTTTGTCTTCAACGTCAAGATAGTTACGCTGAAGTCATTTTTTTTGTCACTGATATCCGGTAATTCTTCCCGCCACAAAATGTTTGAGCTTAATGCCAAATCCCTTGTATTGTCGTCCGAGTGTGCTTTTAGGCTAATCTTGGAGCTCCACCCTGGCAACTCATCCTTATTCTACCACCACGTAGTGTGAAAGAGTTGGCCGCTGCCTTTATCCCTCCGGGAAATAAAAGCCCCCATGGTGCAGTATGCAATCGCATAATGAATGGCTCAAAAAAGAAAGCAAGCTTATTTTTCTTGTCAATCGTTGTATTGACTCAATATGCTTCGGTATGCCCACGACACCCCCTGGAGGCTTTCTGCGGATAACATAGCGTTGCATCACTTCCAGAACTGGAGGCCTTGCGACTTCTACAATTCATTTCTTCTCTGTCCACGTACCGATTTTCTCACGCCCCTCTCCGAAAGTTTTCTGCACTTAACAAGGTACTTTAATGCCTGAGGCATTGTAAGCTCTATGCGCCCATATTGTTTTCCGCTGCCTCCGTGATGAGCTGTCATTTCACCAAACGACGGTCTCATGATGACGTCACAAATGCAAGTTCTGACATGGCGGTGACGTCATGTGATGACGTCGTTGGGCGATGATAAATTTTTGCGTCACTGAAGTCTACGCCGCTTATTTTTTTGCGGTTAATGAGGAAGCTCTCGCCTTAATTTTATACATCATCTGGTGTTTCACGAGCCAAAACCAAGCTACAATTAGGAGGCATGCCATAGTAGGGCTCCGGAAATTTCGAAGACATCGCGTACAGTGACATTTCACGGTACGCAAACTTCTAGATTTTCACCTCCATCATAATGGGACCACCACGACCGAGGTTGAACCTGTTGAGCATTGTACTGTAACTACAGCCATGGTCACTCGATGAAAACACACCGTCCCTGTACAGCCGAGGGGGACTAACCCTTCCGGTAATTAGGTGTTTGCTTCAAGGGCAAAAGTTTGCGCAGAAACAAGGACACTATTGGAACGTAGGAAATTCATAAGGCTGGACTGAGATCATCATAGCCCTATTTTTTCCCCTTTTTTTTTGCAGGAAAACAAAGAAGTTACCAATGCGGCAGGCAGATGATACGGGACGGGAGAATCGTAGGTGGACAAGATGCTTACGACGGCGAGTTTCCTTGGGTGGTAGGTCCACACATCTACTTAAACAAAACAAAACAAAAAAGTAAACATCAGTGCCCACACAGCGCATTGCAAGTCAAAACCTTTTCATTCAGTTCGCCCCAGTAAAATATGACAGCTCAATTGCTTATACCTCGGTGTGCCTCAGAAAGTTTCTTGTTTAAAAGGATATGTCTCGGAAATGTCTACACTATGCAAAAAAAAAAAAAAAACGCCATTGGCTTTAAGAAACCATGTTGTCACCATAATCATAAATCACCGCCTCAATACCTTCACTATCTCGAAAGAAAACCTACATTCAAGCTCCACAAATGTAGATATCCACCTGAGCATTGTTACTCCAGTGCATTTGTAACTTACATTTACTATCATTCGTATTGTTTCTGTACCGAGAACGCCAGCCTTTGCGAATACTAACACGATGCGTTCTGTGCCTAAGACGATGCTTAACGACTGGCTTCATATTTACAAAAACTTTCACGTGCCACGGTGATTTATTACTCACGCTGTTTTAGCTGGTTATCTCCGAACAGTTCAGTGATATAACGAGCTTAACGGAAACAGGGCGTAGATGCGTATGCATAAGCCAGTTGTCTTGTCATAGAATAATTTTGGATGTTTTGGTTTTTAGTGTAATGTTACAAAGCCGGCTGGTTTATTTATTGCTCTTTTTCTTTTCTTTTTTTTGCGCACAGGCGTCGCTGCGTCTTTATGGCCAGCATTTTTGTGGCGGAGCAATCCTGAACAAGCGCTGGATTATTACGGCCGCTCACTGCCTTCGCAGGTAACCCGATTTTTTTTTGTATTACTCGGAGGAAATTTACTGACTTAACAGCATACAGATGAAGATGCTTGGTAATCACAAAAGCTATTGTTCTTTCCGTTTTATGCATTAGAAAATATTGTTAGATGGTTTATTTTCTTGTTTCAAGTTCAACTGCAAGCTCTACTGAATGCCTTAAAAAAACATCCACATAACCAATATAACACTCAGACTAGGCAGACGTCATTGACACAATATCATTGCATGAATGCGGCTTTTTATTCATGCGCTGAATGTCTAGCTGAAATTTCTTTGACCCTCTCTGTTTTGTCTTGCTCTTTCCTTAGTAAACCACCGCGATCATTCAGCGTTCGACTGGGCGAGTACAGCATCGGGAAGACAGAGGAAGACCACGAACCACAGGATATCCGGCTGGTGCGCTACATCATCCATCCGATGTATTCGCAACCCAAGCGATACAACAACGACGTCGCCCTGTTAGAGCTCGCTCAGGATGTCAAGTTCAACCGCTACGTCATTCCCATCTGCCTCCCGGAAGGGCCTCTAGAGCTCCTCGGAAAATCAGCTACCGTCGCCGGCTGGGGCAACATAAAGGACGTTGACAAAGGTACGCCTTGAATTCTTGTTACTTAAACAGATTGCTAACGAACAACGACGTTTCATTGTAGGGTTTGCCCACTGAATAGATGAGTTTGGTATTCATAACGAGCTTCCTCTCCACTGAGAAGTATTGCAAATAAAGCGTGAATCAAAAAATGCATATTACAAAGAAGACTCTTACGTGTGTTAGTGCGAATGCGTGGTTTCGAAGCTGTACGTAAGGATTTCACGTGTTCTATTGCGGAATCAAGTTCTTTCTAGATTTTTAAAGGGGTGGGAGACTGTGGAATTTGATTGACTCTCAATTTCTGGCTACAACAAAGTACTCAAGTTCAGACTTCACATATCCGGTACCTGGGAAGGGCAAGCTAGGATTCCGAATCATTCATTGTTGTATGCAAAGACTTGACAGATTTTTCTTTGTGTCTTGGGGAATTTTTCTTCTACGTTATTACATCCTTGTTCTTGATCCTGCTGTTTAATGCGGCTTGACCTTAGTTGCTGCTTTTTGTAAATTGATTTCGTCCGAGATTGACTGACATAGATTTCAATAGAACATGTTGTATTGTCCTGAACTGTACATCCAGGTAATTTTCATTCGTCGTAAAGTTGAATAAAAAAACAGATACACTAAGTTTGCTTGAAAAGTCATACCACTCTGATAATTCTGCACGGCACCACAGAAAGGAACAAGCTCTAAGCACGAGTGGTTTGTATATCGATAGACGAACCTGTTTACAGTAAAAACGAGGTTAAGTATTCTTGTTCTCAAACTGATTCCCAACGTGAGGTGTATGGCAACATTGTAAGGTACAATGCCCGCTCTTACAAACGCTACTCACCAAAGGCAGGAAAAAACAGGCATTTCGAGAGGCGAGACTTAGCCGAAAAATGCCAGCCCTGCGGTCAGTAATGGGACGTACCGGGCGAAAACATTCCGAGCAGAGCGGCATTCCCCGAACCACATTAAAGTACAAGCAAGGGGTAAACACAGAAAGGCATTAGCGTTCCTGTAGCCATTGCAAGCGTCGCCACTCGTCGAGTATGTATTGCTTGAAACCGGGTTTATACTCTGTCCCCCGTCATCATTTCACGTGTTGCGTGCAAGTTGTACTGAAGCTCCATTCCCTCTACGTTAGATTCCTCGGGGGACGGCTTCGCCGGGGTGAGGAAAGACATTCTGCAGAAGGTGACCGTGCCCATCGTTCCAAACGAAGAGTGCAATCGCTGGTACGCCCAGTCGGGCAAGCTGGTGCACCTCCAAGACACACAACTATGCGCCGGCTTCAAAGAAGGAAAGAAAGACGCCTGCCAGGTAAGATAACCACAGGTCTTTTTGTCGGCTCCCAGGCCGCGATTGGGGTAACCCCATGGTGAGATCATTGTTGTGCAGTGCTGACGTACCCGCGCGTTTTCTCACTGAGTCACGGCGCTCGTACTCAATGACTCGAACACAGAAACGAGGGGGTTCGGCACTGAAAATGAGACTCAACTTGGCTGCATCTATCTCCGTTGTATATTTATAGATTGTGCTCGCGGGCTATTCGTGGACTTGAGGTGACTCACCTGGTTGTGTTGCGATTGGAGGAAAAATAGATGCTTACACACGGCAAATGATGTCGTTACTGAACTAGTTCTGTTTGATGTCATTGAACTACGACGTCAAACACAATTGTGACTGTTTTGGGGGTTGAAATAGTAAACTAATGCTGATTAATATTAATTCTAAACTGGTTTTGGTTTAACAATGGGTAGCTAGGGCTACCGCTGAAGGGATGACCCTCGTTTGCACAAGCATAGAGGCCAGAACACTCCGACTGCCTAGCTTTCAGAGAATTAAAAAAAAAAAAACAAGGTCAGTATCAAAAAGAGTTTGACAAGACGAAAACTCAGTGGAGTATATAAGTTACACCAACCATGAGGATGTCATTCTAGATTGATTTGGTTTCTTTCCTTTTTTTGTCGAATAAAAGATGCCAAGTGTCCATATAATTGTAATGTGATCCTAACTATTTATGTGTAAGTAGCGTCACCAAGCACGAGAATGCATGACCAGTTTTTTTTTTTCTTCGCAGGCCGTTTGTAGGCTGTTGTAATCATGTGGCGCTGCATTTCTGTTTTTGTGTGTGTAAGGGGGGGGGGGGGGCGGCGAACGTAATTCCAAAAAGGGTGAATTCTCAAAACAAGATGCTTACGTCTGCCATTGATAATATTACTAATCGTTGGGGTTCAACAGTCCAAAACCACTATATGATTATGCAAGACGCCGTAGTGGACGGCTTCCGAAATTTCAACCACCTGTGGTTCTGTGAAGTGCACCTTAATCTAAGCACACAAGTCTCGAGCAATTTCGCCTACATCAAAAACGCGGCCCGGATTTGATCACGTGACCTTTGGGTCAGTGCCTTAGCCACTAGACCACCATGGCGGGTTCGTTTGCAATTAAGATGACTTAGTTGACGCACCTGAACTTAATCTTTGGAAGCTTATTTCGCGGAACAAGCGTTCAGTACATTTATGTACCTTTTAGGTTTTGCTCTTTGCAAACTTCTGTCAACTTCTGCTTTCCGCTCTGCAGGGTGACTCCGGCGGCCCCCTAATGTTCTTCGATGGCTCCAAGTACGTCATCATTGGCGTCATCTCCGCAGGATTCGGCTGCGCGCGACCCTTGCTCCCCGGCCTTTACACAAGAGTGTCTGAATACAAGCCCTGGCTCAACAAGTACATCAATTCGTGAAGAAAAGGCCTGCGTTTTGCTAGGAAACTGCTGTAAATGCAGCTGCACATACGACACGGGCGCGTGATGTCATATGCATCCTTGAGACTCGAGATATGATAGGACCGAGAAAGACACTGCTTCCGGATATTTTGACGCGGAATAAGTCAAGGTCTGTCTACGCCATGCGTCTGAGATTGTTTCGTGAAGCCTAGTCTCGAACTGCGTCACAGTTCAGGTTGTGCTGTGTCTATCTGGGTCGCATTCGCACACGCTTCCTGGTAGCGTGCTTCGTTTCAGCCCCATAAAGCACCTTCTGTAAGATAGTGAAATTTCACTAGTGTAACAAGGAAAAAAACGTCTGAATGGTTTTTCGTTTTTAAAACATCCAAAGGTATACATAGATTTAGCATTAATGAATGCTGAGAGACTTACGTTTGAAGGACGATCCTGGTAGCAACATCTTTAATGTGGTGATTAACGATAGCAATTCAATATAATAGCCTTACAGTACTGCCAAAGTGCTTAACGTATTTCAGGAAGTATATTATGTGCATTTTACTCCAACAATGTTTTTGAACAAGTTGGAATAGGCAGGTATCCTGGGGACGATGTGCACAGCACTGGAGCGGCAAAGCTAACTGAACAGTAACAAGTGTTTGAATGCGCCGGTACACTTTCCGTTCTTTGCCGGGTTTTGCGCTGTGCACGTCATCAAGGAATGCTAACAATCCCGGTGCAACGCCCTGTCATCATAGCGTATCTAGTTTTTGAACACTTGGCAGAACCCCGAGCAGCATGTTTGCAAAGATCTTTGAATCTGCGACTTCACAATTTTTTTTTATTTCACGCAACTTCTTATCGAATACAGTGCAATGTGGGGCTATCCGCACATTCACGCGAACAGGTCAATGAAACTTCAATAGCTATTCAAGATCACCACGCTCTGATTCAAAACAACATCACAAAATGTCGCACTCACATCACACTGCTGCTCGCATTCACGCTTCCCGGTGTGTCACTGTACGTCTATGTATATTAAGTTCGACTTCATGAGGACGTTGTTCTCTCTGAACTTTTTGGTATGTAACTGAGATTAAAAGTGTGTAAATATTTTTATGCAACCTTAGGTGTCAGTGAAGGACTGTGAGCCGTTATTTATATGCCTTGAATGTATGTACCCCATTCTCGTTTTCCATGCCTTATGTTGTGAATTACTTGTATAGTTTAGTTCTCAGTCCCCTGTATACTTTGACTAGTCACCTAATGTTGCGAACCCAATGCTACTATTCTGTAAATGAGTGTAAAATTTTGTCATGTGGCAAATATGCAATAAAATTACGATGAGTGATGATAAATGGCACTGTTTCACTGATTTTCCTGCAAGATTCTTGTCGTCCAGAGACAGGCCTGCACATTGCACTGCACAAGTTGATTTAGCATCACGTGTTGCCCGCTTTCCAAGCATGCTGCTGTGTCGCTACTTTATGGTAAGTCGCAAGGAAATAAAGGATGACGTACGCCACAATAACCGAGAGGCGGAAACCCATCGAAAAGAGCAAAACGTTGAAGCCTTTCATAGCAGGAGGCTGGCTGCGAAGGTCAAGGAGAAGGATGCCTCGAGAATGAGGAAGCGTCAGTTGCTAAGGGTAGGGGTGCATTGTTGTTTCATATTGGTGCTGTAGATTCGGCTGATTTTGAAAGGCAGAAGAACAATGCCCAATCCTCGTTAGATAGAGCAACTTTGGCAAACTCGTTGTGGGTCAGTGAGGCGTTGGTAGCCTTAGAGCACCCGCAGGTGAGTCAATGCAGTACATTTTCTGCATTTGAAAGGCCGAATGTGAAGGCCAAGAAGAAAAGTTCATGTCTGATAGTGACGAAAATTCACTAATTGAAGACACTTTTCAGAGGAAGCATCGCAGATGTCAGTCACAGACATAACTGGTGATGAATGGAAGAACAGCTCAGTTCAGCCGTTTGGAGCTTCGACTCCACCAATAGAGAGTTCTGTACAGCGGAGTGCGGGTAATGAGGCTCTGTGCAATGCGAGTCATGCCGAGGGCAGAAGACTGCGTCGAAAGCGTGGTAAATTGAAGAGTTCCGTACTTAGAAGATTATGAATGATGTGGGCCCTATAGCCATTCCGAGAGGAAGAAATCACGTCAAAAGCGAGAAAAATGAGTGTTACGTACATGCGAGTGAAGTGGTTGAGGCTGCCAGCATTGCGAGCCGTTCTGAGAGCAAAAGATTACGTGGACAATGTGCTAAGGTCAAATTAAAAGAGAGTAGTAAAGTCAAGCATGTGAATATGGCTAAAAAGTGACGTTGCGTCAACTTTCGAGGCGCTAAGCTGAACTACAGGCCTGAAAGCGCAAACCGACCTTCAAAAAAAAAAAAAAAAACAGGGTCAGGCTGTAGAAATCGAAGCAAGCCACGAGGAGTGTACGGAAGAAACGAGTTTTTAAGGAAATCAGACCGCGAAGTCACCGCTTCACCTTTTCTGTTACATAACATGACGGATGCAAGAATGCCACCAGACGTCACGTCGTAGTGAGTGCAAACAAATTTCCTCAACCTTCATAGAAAAAGGATAGTGGTTTGACGAGGAAGGGGTCACTGGGCATAAAACAACGCTCAGAGACCACCTGCTCACATTAATAATGCAAGAACGCTGCATGAATATTGTAGTTCAGAGTAGTGAAGATCCGGGCCCCCTGTTGAAAAAGGAAAGCTGTTTGGCAAGGAAGGCATCAATGAACATCAGACACATAATGAGGTACGAGATTTGACATTTGTGAAGCTGCATGCAGCCATGGATAATGCGTGCTCGGGTCGCAGAGTGTACGCCGAGACATTGGACGCCAATGTAAACAGCAATACACAGACAAAGTGGGTCTATGCAGTGTGCATTGACCCACTCATTCTGACGATCGAAGAACCCGCATTTCAATTTCGGAATTGAAAACGTCCCGACGGTGGAAACTTGAGACGTAAAGGACTACTTGGTGCAGACAAATTCTGTTACGCAAGGATGGCTGAAAAGCAAGAAATCTTTGGATGTCTGACTAGTGTTTTTGTCCACCAACCCTCGCTGAAAAGTGGTGGTTACTGCGTAGTTGTGCACGCAAAGGTAAGATAATCAGAAGTTAATCTCTACCATAAGCGGGAAAATTGAGTTTACCCAATAATTTGGTATTAGTGCGATGCTTTACGAATCAGTTGAAGCTGCGGGCTTAACAGCGCTTACGAACTTGCACGTAAAAACGCCATTGCATGCACATTCGATTGCGGTAAACTGCAGACGAGACTGAACTTTCGACGTGGTTGACTCACCCACAGCTTCGATCAATTACGTGAAAAGTCTCTAGGGCGTAAAATTAGTCACTAAACCATAGTTACAAATCAACTGCACTTTGATGCAAATATACTGAACCGGGTCACTTCAGCCAGAAATACAAACATGTGTGCCTCTGATTTAAGTTTGCAGTGTACTATACGCATGTACTAATATGGATAGTCCAACGTTGAGTTCTCTATCGTGCTTTTCGAAGACGTATTTGCTTGTGCATTGAAACTGACTGCATTTACAGAGTTATGGTGATTTCTTTATTTTCTCGTTTCATTCGCGCCTGGTTTAATGGCTTTCCTTTTAACTCTAGGCGGTCATAATCTGAACTCAACTAAGTGTCCATTCTCCTGCAGGTGAATCACTCTCGGGCGCTCACCCCCCAGCCTTGTTATAATCAGCCTGGCGAAGAATGAGGGGTGAAGGGTGGGCTGTGAAAGGTAGTGAGCGATGGCAAAAGCAGTCAGGCTTGAAGCACGAACAGGGCCGTTGCTTCGTCGCAGCGTGACAGTATCACCTCACTTGACATGTGCCCACAGGCAGACGAAAAGACGCAACGACGGCGCCGTGGTCTGTGTCCTTTTAACTGTAGTTTCTTAGCGCACGATAAAAAACACTCATTGGAGTAATTAAAGTGAGAGTGCAAGTGACAATACCCGTACAATGTCCGTGTCCATTTTTAAGGAGTGTTCAAAAGTATAGGTACGAGCAGAGGTGAGCTGACCCGCGAAATAAACGAGGCTGTAATTATTGACAGGCTGAAAGATACCTGAACTTCTAAACCATCGATTGTCCTTCCATGTAAGTAGTTAGCTTATCTGCGAAAAATATGTGAATTGACAAAGTAAGTGCGATCATGATGATTGAAAAGTAATGTTCCCTGTATATATGATTGCTTTTTTTCTGGAATGAACATTGTTGCAAGTAGCGTCAGTTCCGTCTCCATCTGTCCGTGTTCTTTCATGCGCTAGAAAATTACAGTATGAAGTACCAACACCCCCAAAACGCTACGCCCTTTTAACGTCTTGCCACTCTGGCACAGTTTTTTACTCGTAACCGCGGACCGACCAGGTCCAGATGCGTACCCTACTGAAAGATGTAGTCTTTTGGCTGTTGCATTCGAACTGGCGATCCTTGTGAACCAATGGCGCGGCAAACAGTGAAAATTCGCATGGCTTACCTTCGAAACACCGCACCGAGAACAGTGGGCAAGCGAGCCACGAAAAACGGTAGTTACTGGAAGCGGGCAATGTTTTCATTGTGCAGAAAAGTTGCTGTGGCGTAAGACATTGCTTTTAACGTGTTCTACCGTCTTTTTCATCATATTTTGTTCTAGCACGCACGTTTAGAGCCAGTATACACAATCTCGGCGTGTTATCACCCTTCCGCGCGACCAGCACAGTGGCTGCTGGCTTGATTACGTCAGAGACGAGTGAAAGCATAAACATCCATTTAGGACAAGCAGGAAGCTGTCATGATCGATCGCTCCACGTGGCCTGAAGGCCTCGGAAAAAAGTGGCTGCCCCCTGAGAAGCGATGAAGATAGTATTTTGTGGTCATTCGCCTTTTAAATCGCTCGTAAACGACCCAGAGAAAATCTTTAGCGGTGCTACTGCAGCTGCGCGCGAGCCTTCAACAAACAGTTAGGCGCGAGAATTTTCCTGAACTGGTACCATAGTATAGGAGTTACATGCGTGTGATCATGCAAAAGAGGCCCTTGCTCGTTTCGCTCTTCTCTTCTACACGCTCTGTCTGAACGCTTGTCTCTCCTCCTGGTCGTAAATTTTTTTTTCTCGCCGCATGAAGCGAAAGATCGGCGGGCGAGCGCGTACCTTCGAAATGCCGAGCAAGTTCTTTTCGTGGATGATTGATTGATATGTGGGGTTTAACGTCCCGAAAGCACCATATGATTATGAGAGACGCCGTAGTGGAGGGCTCCGGAAATTTGGACCACCTGGGGTTCTTTGACGTGCACCCAAATCTGAGCACACGGGCCTACAACATTTCCGCCTTTATCGGGAATGCAGCCGCCGCAGCCGGGATTTGACCCCGCGACCTGCGGGTCAGCAGCCGAGTACCTTAGCCACTAGACCACCACGGCGGGGCTACTTTGTGTGGAGGACATGACTATAGATGCAAACGGTGACATCACAGCCAAAGCTGGGAATGCTGAGAAGCCCGGTGAGGACAATGAATCGTTTCGCAAAATTGCTGGCGTGCACGCGGCTTGCAGTTGTACACCACATTTGAAAATGCTGATTATTAGGGCATGTTGAACTCAATACATTTTACTTGATAGTTACGTTTACCTGATATGCTAAAGAATATCGGAGAACGTTAATGGGCCCTTTAGGACCGTCAGTATTCTTGTCTTTCTTGCGATTTTCAGTTTGCGCCATAATTCTTTAAATAGCCATAACAGTCGACATGAATGGTCACTCAACAGACACATTCTGCCTCTTAAAAAAAAAGACTGAAATTGATTGTGAATATCACCTCTACTTTATTTTGCAACATTTTTTTTACAGGTAATAAACATTTTCAACACAAAACCCACAACATTTCCATCATGTACAATATAGTGTGGAGGATTATCACAATTTTATCCCTCCTCGGCACGACGTTTATAGAAACATTGACTTTGTCTGTGGTATTGTGCTGCCAGTGTATGGACGCTCAGCCCTTGTAAGTTGGCGACGACGTACTCGCTTGTGGCACCCGATTGGCTGAAGAACGTTCGGCATTGTTCTTCCCTGCGCAGCTGTTACACTGTGTCTTCGTGGCAGGTACATGCACACCTCATGTGGTGCCTGTGGGACGTTCATGTGCTCGCACGTGGTTTAAATACTCTGAAACACAGAAATAAAACGCAAGCATGAGTTCAATGGAATGTTAAACATGTGTTGTAGAATGAGGTTAACGTATGTTGATTAGCAACGGCAAAACGTTAGCACAAGTGACCTGCGGCCAAAGCCGCATGTTCATGACATCCGGTGCTGGTGTACCCGAGCACGTCAATAGCGAGAGTACTAAGGTCATTCCAATTTCGCAAGCAGGGGGGGCTTGCCGAAAGCAGGTCGTCTTGCTGTTGGCCCATCCTAAAGCCGACATATAATCAATTTATGAAATAATGAATTAGGAATAAATTAATTCATTAAAACATTTATGTAGTGACTTAAAATTCATTTAATGAATTTTAATGTTTTCTAAGGCGCATGTTAATACACTGACCAGTACGTTCAGTCAATGTGCGCGTGAACACACGAAAGAGAAATTTGGTTAACAACTTCTATATAACTGCCGAAAAAATTTGCAAGCATCTGAACACATTTTTTTTTTGTTCACAGCAGGTCCTTGCTATCTTTTCTGCACTACGAAACAAATGCGACTAAGCCTATTTGTTGCGAAAAACACAACCTCTCATCATATTGCTTCTCGGTATTTTTGAGGCCTTGAGAATTATTCGGTACATAAGGAACAACTCCAATATCATATTGCTGTATCTAGTTGTTCTTTCTTAATTACTATTCACGTGTGGAGAACGTCCGTATGTATATTTCTTTGCAGTGGGAATTAGCTTATGGTAAACCATTGAATGCCACGCCGAATACTCCGCCTCCAGAGGCGATCAATTCACAAATAAAAACTACTGCTCAGCTTACGTGCGCCAGTTCTTTATTGACAAGCAAGGGCATGTTAGCATGACGTCACAATGCTCGCTTTAAGAAGATTCGAATGCGGCGACGCAGAACGAATCCCCTTATGCTCAACACTATCACCAAACATACAAGGTACCAAAACTTAAAAGATTTTATCAAGAAACTTCCCGGTATGCTAGTTTTTACTTTTTTACACAATCAGCACAGAATCTCTTTTTTGTGCAAGGCGTGACTTGCCAATTTAAATACCAATTTAAATAGAATCTACATAAATTCCTGAATACTGTTGCACTTTCCTGCAGTTTGGTGTTAGGAGCACGACACAAGCCGCTGTTTCAATAAATGCGCCACATGGAGTTGTGAACAAATAATCTTTCAATAAAGACGAGTTCGATGTTCCAGCTCAGATAACACCTCAGATAACTCATGATAGTACGTCTTGACTACATGCAGGTCTCGGCACGAGATAACTCGCACACCGCCCAACTTCTCCATCCGACATACATTCGCTCGCGAATACGTACACTGGTCGACCGCATTGTTTTTTTCACATTTCGTGGGTTGTTTCACGCAGGCGCATTCAGACATGTGCAGTGTTTAGGATTTGATATCATTCAATGAGTGGCGAAGTGTTCTTCTTGTTTCGTGCTTCTATGGTGAAATGAGCAGTGAGTGTCCGAACAGCCCGCCCACTGGCTCACTCGGCGTTATGCCACTACCTAGCTGGTCCCAATAACCGACGCCAGTCGTCATTTACCTACGCTTCTGAACAACCGAGACTAACATTCCCGGGCGGTATGAACCAGAGAAACAATAGAACTGCACACACCTGCAATGCACTGTGGACGAAGCCGTGCATATCTTGTCGTAAGGTCGGCCTATTATCCCACCCAAGTGAGACAAGTTCTGTCCTCAAAAGAGCCATCAGAGCTATCGATCACCTACGTCAAGGCTCTACGTCGTCGACAGAATGTTGACCTCTAAATGCGAAGGCATGACCATTACGCACTTGCCGGTAGTGCAAAATTGGTAGCCTTTGGATACCGCGTGGAAAGAACGAAGGGGGTGGACCCATATTATTGAATCCGGTGCACTAAACAGCGCCAGAGCCTGTTCGCTGAAATGGGAACTGTGTAAGTACTGTAGATAAAGTGTTTTCCTTTCATATATGTTTGCCCTGATGACTGCTTCGTGCACGACCCGCTCGTGTTCGCACCGGCCATGAAACGCCATTCCTAACAGCGTACACACTTTTCCCACAGCTCTCTACTCGCCCGTGGGGCTTTATAAGATTGCTTGAAAATGAAAATGACGATGGTAGCTTGTTGGTCGGTCATTTGCTACACTTCCATAAATGCACGCGCCAACATACTTCTGATAAGACTCTTATATTGGGCATGTGTAACTCTCAAATACCTAAATTAGTAATCGAAGCTGAACAGAAAGACTAATTTGACGAAAGTTGTGTTAAGAAAACATCACCGTCTTTGAGTGAGAAAACAAGACTACGTGTCATGCGCACTGTCTTCTTGCCGGCTATCCTTAAGAATTCAATTTCGTCATACAAAACTTCCAGCCTAATCACGCGGTTTATTGCGCACGCGCGCGTGTGTGCGTGCGTGTGTGTGTGTGTGTGTGTGTGTGTGTGTGTGTGTGTGTGTGTGTGCGTGTGTGTGTGTGTGTGTGTGTGTTATGGTTAAAAATTTGTCATGCGCAGAGAAAGGTATATTTGTCAGCTTGGTGGTTGAAAAAAAAAGTTCTCCTTGTCAGCAGCACCATTGGGCGTGTGCTTTTTTCCATTCTTTCTTGTCTTCTTTATGGCCACACACAAGATGCTTGAAAAAACAATTCCAGAACTGTTGCCTCGAAAAAGCTATTTGTTGAAGACCTTTTCGCCAGCCAACTATGCTTTGAAAAAAGGAATGTGCTTGACACTCTCGCTAGTTGGGCACTTGGGAGCAGCACCGCCCCTTGTCTCAATTATGGCGCTCCAGCCACCGGTCAGTTGAGTTAATCTTTGTCCGTGCCGACCTTACATCTGCCTCAAATATGACAGACAGTCACTTATGTGTACACTGTGTCTGTTAAACCTTCAGGAAAATTGTCTTCCGTACTGTTATTGGGATAAACTTACATGACAAGTATTTCCGTCAAATGGAGTTTTCTAAATATGAAGTGGTCATATTTACGTAAAACTGGCACTCAAACCACAGTGAAAGCTCATTCTTTCAAACTCGAAGGTGCAGTAGTGCAGGTGTACGAATAATGCAGGTGTACGAGTAATGCAGGTGCAGTAAACTCGCAGGTGCACGAATCAAGCGAAGTTCAAATAAGCAGGCGGACACTAGAATAAACAGATAATGCGCGACACTGCGTGGAGTAAACAAAAATACGTCACCTCTGCTCTCGTTAACATGAATTAGGTGCTACTATGTATTCGTGTAGGAATTCACGAAGCTCTAACAGCAAACGAAGTTAATTGATCAGTTAGAGATACGCGAGGAACAAGCACCGAAATGCATTCATGTGATCAATGAGCCCTAATGCCAAAATACACTTAAACTATCATCCTCCAAACACGTTTATTATATTACATAGCTAATGCAATCAACACTAAAAGCTATCAGTAATTTGCATTTGCAAGTGATTTTTCTGTCCCACCTTCACGAGCATCATTTGAATCTTTCCCAAGAGTTCAGTGCAGTACCTGGATTCTCAACTGCTGCGAGAGACAGCTGTTGAGTTTTTTGTTTGTATCTCTAGCGAATTTGGTTTTCTTTGGTTTCGCAACATACTACAATCACTGGGAGCCGACTTCTTTGAGGAACGATGAATGATAGGGGCTTTATTCAGTACAAATTAACCGGTGTCGATACAACGCGTTTGAATTATCGGGATTTTTTCCAATAGATATACACTGGGTGGTGCAGGAACCAGGGCGTCAGTTTGAAATAATTGTAAGTTTCAATTATCCGAGTTTGAAATAACAAGCTTTTCCCGTGTTTGGAGAAGGTTTTCGATGAGCACGCACTTCGGCCATAAAAGTTGTGCCCAACATATATCGGGTAAATTGAAATATTGAAGATATCTGGCAAGGTTAAAGAGTGAAAAGTGGTTAATGAAGTACAATAAAACTGCTAACCGCCAAACTTTATTTTATACCTTATAAAAGCGGGTTGAGTGTACAGGAACATGTGAGTTGTATGGTTTCTGGATATTTGTGATTCTATACGTGGGAGTGTAATCAGATGAATATGATTGTCTGGATGTGGAATGATGTACATGTAGGGCACTTCATGAATGATATCATTCAGTTGTTGATTCAAAAATCATTTATGGAGCTACTTACCTTTAAGATCTGTGTCAGCTTGCACCACGTCCTAGTCTGTCGGACAAGGCCACAGCTACGCTCAACCACGTTGTCAACATCCAGGTAATTTCCAGCTTCTCTGCAAGTAAGATAAAAAAAATCACATCTCATTTTGGGTGCAGTAAGTTACAAAAGAACATCAGAGAAAAAATAAGGAACAGTGAAAACAAAAACGAAACAAAAAAGAAACCATGCGAATGGGTCATATGCACCCCGATACATTGTAGGAACAGATGTGGGCTTCGGAAACAACAAGTAGACCATTTTTGTAATCCGCAAAAACGCTTCTACACATTGCATATTCACCCAATTAATCGCGGCACCTGTCGTCCTTCAAGTGGATGTGAGGTCCGAGTTGCTTATGTATGCGTTTCCCTCGTCGGAGCGTGAGCAAGTAACGCACCACCCAGTTCACAGCGTGTTAGCTGGCTTCTCTGTCATGCAGGCGCGATTGCAGCAAAGGTAGCTTTAAGTTTATGAAAAAGTTGATAAGGTCGACAGCTGTCTACGCGCGTTCGAACCTTGATTTGGCAACATTCTTTTGCCAATTAATCTCTCATTCTCTTTCCTCGTTACTGGTTCTTGAATGTCAGGTCGAACGAATTGGCGCAGGTGTTCTGGCAGCGAAGCATAAAGCACGAAAAGAGCGCGCGTCAGTTCATTATGATAGTAATTTTCAATCTGCGACACTCAGCAAACCTCGAGCCTAACAATTGTGCTGCCAAAGCGGCAATCACTGGCACACAAGCCTCGTAGCAAACCGGTAGTAATCAAACCATACTTTCACTTCAGTGATATCCGTTAGCTATAAAATATAACCTGATGGTTTAAAACTGTAATATTGGTTTTTCCAAATATTCTCACTGTCGGTTGCACTTAAGCTGGCTATAGCATTGTAGTTGTGCTCTGAATGAATAAGATACTTTAAGGATCAACAGCAATAACTAAGAAAATTCTGCAGAAAATACATAGTACAGGTAGAGTAAGAAAAATACCATCTAATTGTACGATATATCGTTACTGCGCCATTTGGGAGACGTGAAAACGTTGAAGCTGCTTCATTCTCGTCATACCTGCGAAAGAGTTCTCCTCAGTGAAAGAGAAGCCAGCCTGATGTGTGACGTTGAGGATAATAGTAGCATCATCAATGCCTTTCGAGTTTCTGGCAACAAACAATATTTCCCCGGCGTCTTCGGGGTGAACCGACCTAATCTCCAGAGATGTGATTCTGCAAAATGATGTGTCGGCACTCTGTAAAAAGCGAAAAGGTAAAAACAAGCATTTAGCATGGCAAAATAGTCGGTATCAAAATGTTAAAGAGTTGTAAAATCAATGCACAGCTGGCTACAATTTTTCAGCTACGCCAAAAATGGAGGTGCTATAGTTTCATGAAAGAAAACAACCACAGAACAGTCATGATCTTAATCAACATTCAAACAAGCATTATTAAAAAATAATATAGATTACCATATGTCACATTACCATTAGCAGCTGCGGAATACTGACGTTGATTGTTTATACGTCCATTTTTTATGTCGATGAAGAAACCCCGAAGTAATATTTACTGCTATTGCGAAACTGACCTGCTGCAAGATACCAACACAAACGACTTATGACTTAAAAGAAGGGACTCTTAATTTCTAATATCTTAAATACGATAGTCTTTTTTGGGGACCTTCGACGCAAAAATTTTGGTCCGTCTGTACAATTTGTCTGTTTGTCCGCCCTTAACGGTGCCTTAAACAGCACCAGACGATGCCCCAAACGGCCAACCCTATCTGCAGCGCCCGCCAATATTGCTCAAGGTTCAGCATTCATACTTGTGCGATTTTTAATTAAAAAGCAGTTATTGCGCATATATGAGGAACCATAAGAACACGTGAATATTCTGTATGTGTGTCTCTTACCAGAAAACGCATACATAAGTAATTCTAAGGACCGTAGCGTTTATCACGTTGCGCTGACCATGCAACGCCTGCACGAAAAGGCAAGCTTTTCCAACGCTTTGCTAAGACGACGTGGTGGCGGCATTTACCCATCGCCTTGCGCTCCACACGTTATCACCTCCGCTTCGTTTCTAAGATAACTGCCAGATAGCGCTTATGTCTCACGTGTGACGTGACTTGATGCGCACGTTCGTCTCCGCTGCACGCTCGAGGCACTTTAATGCAGCGCCTCCACAATACCATTCACCGATTTTCTTACGCAGACCATCAAATAAATGTTTTGTGCACTCTTTCCAGGCGCAAGACTATCGTCTTTCGACGACATTTGCAGTGTAACATGTAGATACGGGGCGAATTTTTTGTGTGCGTTTCACAACACGCGGATATAGTTCCCTCAGAAAATTCATTTCAACACTTAGCTATAAGAAATACAAATACGAGCAAAATACCTCGTCTACCTTATATGTCGCATTACCTTAATGTGTACAGCTGATGACCTTTTTTTTTTGCACATAAAGTTTCCAAGTCCGTCTCGCAGATATTAATACCCTTTTCCTTTATGCATTTCATTTACGTGTGATATTAACAGGCTTGTATGCTTAACAACTGTCACGTAATATGACAATAGTCATCGCGGCACATGATGGATACTGTGCGACCAGTGGCGTTATGTTGGCGTAGGTGTGCTGACAGTGTTATCCTAAACTGACAGTTAAGGCGAAGAGGAAATAATCTCAGTACGTAAAGTTTCTCACATATACGAAACAGCGGCTAAGTTTACATGTCCGCTATATAGAATCACCACGGCCTTTGGAATGCTAAATTACTTCCTTTCAGCAGGATCATGACGCTCGGCTGCTAACCTGAAGGTCGTGGGATCGAATGCAGGCAGCGGTGGCTACATTTTCGATGCAAGGGAAAACGTTTGAGGACAAGTACTTAAATTTAGGTGCATATTCAGAAACCCAAGATATCGTGGTGTTTTGGGGCGTTAAACCCGACATATTATTAATATTATTATTATTATTATTATTATTATTATTATTATTATTATTATTATTATTATTATTATTATTATTATTATTATTATTATTATTATTATTATCTGCCACACTGTGAGTGGTACGTTCGCGTCACTGTTCCCATCGTTCGAAAGAAAGAAAACGGTGCAAGCGATGGAGCTTAGTCAACCATCCTATAACTTTTCGTGACACAACAGACACTCATATGCAAGCGGTATTTCACGTGTTATTGGTTGGTTGGTTGGGGCATGCGGGGTCGTTCGCGCCGTTTCAAGTATAGCCGTACAAGTGTATCGGTGAACAATTGTTCAGGGCAGTGACGTTGCAATGACATGATAGAGACATGTTTGGCGTATGTCAAACCGACGCAATGTAAACATATCGCGAAGCGACGTAGCGGCAGCCACTTTTTGCGGGGGACAGCAATAACAGAAAAAATCCAAAATCTCGTAGCTCTTCGAATACATATAAAGTGCTCATATAGTACCTTTAAAATACGGTCTTAGGAGTTCTGATTATATTCAGGGCCCATAGGCCCATATCTTATATGGATCAGTTTTCCACTCGCACAAAACCTGCCTTCGGCTACTGCCAAGGTCGGTTATTTTGAGCGACTAACTACAATGAATTAACGCAAACGGAAGCAAAAGGTCCTTTATATACAAAGTGTGACTCCACAAATATTTTGAATACACATGCACTAACATTCCTGCAACTCACCAGAAAATAAAATATGCTCTATTGAGTAGAGTGTAACGGCAGTTCCATCTTGGTATCCTCAGGCGGTGGCTTACCAGATTAAATTTCTTGATGTTGTAATTTATAAATTAGCTGCGCCTGCTTGTTTACACCAAAGTATTCTGCATGACAGTTTCCCTGTGATGCAGCTACGCGAACAGTTTTTGTATCAACAACAATCAGCAGTCAACAACTTGATTTGGCACAAAAGTTGTAACGAAAGAATAAAGAAAGCCTAGTTTACTGCCATAAGCTGCATGTGCGTTTTGCAACGTCAGAGTAGAGCTCTCACCGATTGGACAAATCAACACATTTACTCCTGAAAGTGAATTAGTTGTGTTCCAGAGTTGTTTACAATGCAGTGACATGGCCAGCTGCTAGCCAAGCCAGAGTCAAATGTTCGAGCATTCCTTTTGATTGATTGATTGATTGATTGATTGACTGATGTGTGGGGTTTAACGCCCTAAACCATCATATGATTATGAAAGGCGTCATAGTGGGGGTCTCCAAAAATTTTGACCCCCTGGATTTCTTCAACGTGCACCGAAATCTGAGCACACGGGCCAACAGCATTTTCTCCTACATTGAAAATGCAGCCGCCACAGCCAAGATTCGAGGAACGTTCCTTTTAATACGTTGTGCAATACGTTGTCCAATACTACGTGCATTCGCATGGGATGTGCAGGACGTGTTTATTACAACTGCGGGCTATGATAATTTCCCGTATCCGTGCACCGCACCGGAGCAGTGGTGACATGCCGTGCTAGTGGTGCGACTCACTTTCTCAAGCACGCGCGCGCGCACTCACTCACTCACTCACTCACTCACTCACTCACTCACTCACTCACTCACACACACACTCACACACACACACACACACACACACACACACACACACACACACACACACACACACACACACACACACACACACACACACACACACACACACACACACACACACACACACATGCACACACACCTAGGGAGCCGCAACAGTCCCATCAGGTTCTCAGAATATTTTGCTTTAGCTTGAAAATGATGACAAAAACGGGTGATTCCTCATTATCGTGTTCAGAAAAGAAAGATGTACTTACACTGTAGTTATGGGCAACATAATGTGTGAGAGCCGCTTCCCCGGGACTGAGCAGCAGGCGTCTCACAATCCAATAAGCTCGTGTCGGCGGTGGGTTGGCACAAACCAGAACAGATATCCTGACCGGTTTTCCCACGATTGCCATCAGGCTTTTGTTCAGTGCTTTGACGTCAGGCCGCCCTGGATAAATTATAATCAGGCCAGAATATGTACTATTTTAAGGGACACAAAAAACTTGGAAACAGCAACTTGGCTTAGATCAATAAATTGTAGTCCGGGAACTATAATGTCACAAGTTTCACTAACATGAGTTTATTATTTGCAGAGAATATCAATGTTGAAGTTTCGTTTTTGAATTTCTCACCGAAATTACGACGTGTCACGTCAAAAGTTTCAAAATGTACTTTTCGTATTTTCGGGGCGTTGCCTCAATTAAAGTTGTTGAAACTACGTATGTTAGGTCTATAGCACCCAGAGACGACGATGTACTTCACTTTTACTGATTAGAAACTGCGTATAGGATCCTTTAGACGCCGTCAAAATCAATGACGTGGTGTTTGGTTAGGCAATCTCGAAGGCGGTGTCTCCATCCGCATTTGCTTTTCACGCATTTCTTCGCTTACGCATTTCTTCGCTTAGCTAGCGTTGTCTCGCGGTAAAAGGGGTGTTTTCGGGACTGAGATATAAAATGTATGTTACTGACTCACGAAAAATTGTTTTTCTCTTTAGTGCCCTTTTTGAAACAAAGCCTTCTTTGTCAACACTATAGAATTTTGGAGTACTTCATCCTAATTTTTCTCGAAGACGAAAATTTTTTCGACAAGAAGTGCCAGCAAAATTGACACATAGAAACGTTTTCAAATTTATTTTTCACTCGTTCAGAATGCATAGATTTTGTTCTCAATGAAGCCTATTTTTGTTCACACTGCACTGTCAAATGCTACATTTTAATTCCAGATTGTTAATGTTATATATCTATTCAATGGTGTGGAAAGATTCCTTTGCAGTTATAAGATTAATAGTTTGGCTAATTATATTAGGTTAATGGATAAGCGATATGATTTAGGAAGGAGAATACTTCACGTTGTTAAGCCTATCACTCAGAGCAAAGTGCAATTTTATGTTAAAGAAGCAGCTGAGCCAAATTGTTGACCATTAAAATGCAGGAACGCATGACAAGTTTAATGAAGTTTTGGTGGCTACACCCTAGGTTTTCTCTCTGAATGAAGCGTTTGAATGGCATTTAACCAAGGATGGTGACATTAGGTATATAAAACTTACAACACATAAAAGTTATTTGACGTGTACGACAGAAACGTTTTGTGTAAAAAAGATTATGTAGGCATTGCCTTGAAACCTTGTTTGTTCATTATTGTTTGAATTCAGCAATCCCACCAAAGAAATCGCAACACGCGTGCCTTGAGAACGAATAGCCAGTGACCCAACTTAGTTGACAAGATCGAGAAGAGAAGGTAGAGGGCATCAGACGAGTTTCTTGTTTCATATCGAACACTGAAGATACCATAGATAAATATTGAGATAGGAAGCTATTCGCCAACATGCCGGCCCACGTGGAAGGGCTACAATCGGAGGACAGTCTGTTTGAATAACTGCAGTAACGCTCAAACACGAAAATGTAACAGAGTGTAAACAGGAAGGAAACCTGAGATGGTGAGCAGGATGTCCCGTGTGCGGGCCCGCTCCTCTTTCCAACCCATGTGGTTTGTAGCCGTGCACTGGTAGCTGCCGGCATCCGAGTACAACACCGGGTCCAGCAGGAGCGAGCTCTCGGAGGCCATGCTCTCGAGCCGGCCCGAGCGCACACGCGTCCAGCAATAGGAAGGGGGCGGCTTGCCGTCGGCCTTGCAGTCCAGCTGCACGGGCTCGCCATAGTCGGCCGACACTTTAGACGGCGGCTGATCGACGATCTCAGGGCCGTCTGCGAGAAAGCCACGATCAAGCAGGCCAGTAATTACTCTAAACAAAATGGTCACGTATATGAATGGGTGTGCGTGTGGGAGAGAGAGATAGAGATGGACAAAAAAAAGCTTTGTGCACTAATATAAACACAGCTATTTTTGACAGCCCGGGCATTGACTTTTAAGACTTTCTGCGTAGAGAAACAAATGCAAGAATGCGTCGGGTGAGTGGCACACCGTCCTTCTAGACATCACGCCGTATATAAGTGTTGCTTCACGTTCTGTCCACACATATTTCAAGAAGCCTGTTCTGTTTCTCACAGTTTCTATGAAGCGGCAAACCAACAAACAAGAACAATTTTTTGAAACGAATGTAAACAATGTTCTTGCCTCATACCATAAAAAACATCATCATGGCATAAAAACAATTTTTTTGCTCCTTGGGAGGACATTTGAAAGCGGGAAAGGCAGTTATTATCGCATATTCTGTGATTTTTTTTTAATGTGACATCGCTTATGACCGTTAATTTTTTAATTGCTATTTTTTTCGCAGAGAACACACTATCGTACCGCGCAAGTTTCTTCATTTTGCTTGTTTTTCATTTAAGTGTACAGTAAAGAAGGGTTGAGAAAGAACGACGCCCATTGTCAAAGGGGCAAGACGCGCGCTGCCGATAAGTCTGCGGAGGCTACTGTGGCAACATCTGCTCTTCCCGACAAAAGACGCGCCCGCAAGCAGTATAGTGCCGGGCAGAAAAGGAGACCGCCTCTATGGCAAATTGACGCTTGAAGGGTTTGAAGTGCCGTTCAGAAAGACGGGAGCTGGAAAGAGCGGGAAGGCCTGGCGAGGTGCCGTGCTTTATTTTAACGATTCGACTTGAGAGGGCGAAGTGAGGTTTGGGTGAATGGTATACGGGTGCCCCCCCCCCCCTCGTTTCCTGGTTCTTTAGACGGGATTCTTGAGACAAGTGGCCGCCGTTATAAGAATGTCCCCTGCTTAGCGCACAATAGCACTGCGGCTGGGCCTAAGCGGGTGCGGACGCGACTGGCACGGCAGTTGACTGGGTAATTAAAAGTTTGCCCCGTCGGCATGCCACTCCTCTCCTGCTCTTTTTCGGCTGGCGTATACGCTTCGTTGATCAAAACGAAAACAGTTTTCTGAGGGCACGGCTCCCGTTCGCACAAGCTCGACGTCCCTCGCTCTGCTGTCCTATCTTTTTTTTTTTCATTTCTTAGAGAGCTATCGTTAAAGTTTAGACAGCGTGACGATGGCGCTGTTAGCGTTTCCGCTCAAAGCAGAACATATTGCGCGTGCAGAGAGAGATACAACCCGGGCGAAGGGACTTGACGGCCTATATAGCTATTTTCTACATTGAAGGAGCATGGAGCTAACAACATAAATATACGTTAAAAAATAATAAAAAACTTCGTTTTCTAGGGCTTGATGAGTGTCGCTAAAGTGTTTCATTAAGCGGCAGATTGCAGGGTGTGGTAGTTCCATGGTCATTTGTTCAAATAAAAATGTAACAAAACAAAGTATTATGTTTATTTTTTTTCAGCCATCGAAAATGGGCTAGCGAACAGTCAGGACAAGGTCTTGTCAATGCAGATCCGCGTGCAACGCTCCATATTTACTAGCGCTTCTTCAAGACTTCCTGAATGCTAAATTGTTGTAAGACTTAGCAGATTATGCTTACGCAACTAGATTTACCTATATAACTAAAGCTCATAACGTATCCGCTCAGCGTTTTTGAAAGATTGGTGTATCATTTTAGCGCAGTGGGCACTAATCACCTTGCTCGTGAATAATCGCACACATATAAAGGTTTGTCTTAGGTGCTGCTATTCTGCAAGCGTTAAATTTCTTTCTTCAGGGGAAGTTTTATCGAGTAGAATATTCATTTTTGTATACCATTTATGTACCACGTGCGCTACGTTGCCATTCACTTTACCAGTGTTATCGATTAACAAAGCACGATAGGGAGCGCGAATGAAATAGGAATTTCCCCTTGCGCTCTAGCTACACCGCAAATGGAGAAGCATAGCCGTGAAGCGCGTGCACACACAGACACACATACAAAAAAAAAAGGTGACAGAGAGCAATGGTGGCGATGGGAATACGTGTAACTTGACGCTTTTTAAGTCACGGTTGGACAGGGCGGACCTTATGTATATATATATATATATATATATATATATATATATATATATATATATATATATATATATATATATATATATATATATATATATGTATATATATATATATATATATATATACATGGCTGAACCGCTGTTTCAGTAATCGGTATATAACGCGAAAGTCAAAACGTGCCTTCACAGATGTAGTTCAGTGTTTATTGTGCGTTGTTTCGCCACAAGTGGGAAGGAATGAACACTACAGCAATGAAGAACGGCAAGCAGCTCAAAACTTCCCGCGTGCACCTCAAGCAGAAAGCACGCGCAAAATAAGCATTCAAAGGACAAGCACTGACAACTAACTGTCACAGCTCGACACTTGAAGCAGGCTAGATAGATATGTAGGGTTTAACGTCCCAAAACAACCATATGATTCTGAGAGACGCCGTAGTGGAGAGCTCCGGCAATTTAAACCACCTGGGGTTCTTTAACGTGCACGCAAATCTGAGCACACTGGCCTACAACATTTCCGCCTCCATCGTAAATGCAGCCGCCACAGCCGGGATTTGATCCCGCGACCTGCGGGTCAGCAGCCGAGTACCTTAGCCACTAGACCACCGCGGCCGGGCTCTTAAAGCAGGCTGCTCAGAACTGCAAGCACACTCGGTCCCACGAAAGCTACTGTTTTTCAGCAATTTATGTAGCTTTCCTGACTGCCTTATTTTCTATTCATATATCTCTCTACATATATAGCTTTCAACACATATCTGGCGTAAATGAACTGCAAACTCACATCGCACGTTGAGAAAATATCCGAATGATGCAAACGTTCCTAGGCGATGGACAGCGGCACAGCGGTACCAGCCGGCGTGCTGCCGCTCAATGGCTGAGAAGTTGAGGTAACCGTCAGGGCTTTGAGGTACGGGAGGAGGCCCGTCGTCCTTTAGCCAGCGGGGCGCGCATGGCGGATTGGAGTCCACAGCGCAATGCAATGAAACGGGCATCTTCTCCAAGATAGGGAAACCGAAGCCCGGCTCCCGGGAGATCGAGAAGGACGGCACATCTGAAAGAATAGATAAGAAAACGAAGATAAAACTTGTAGATGATAAGAAAGTGTAAACTGCACTTTTCTTCTTGAAACACGTTCAACCTTTCTTCAGAAAGTGTGGCAGGTATTCATAAGCGTTGAACGTAAGATACAGTGAGTTGATTTTATTGATTCAAAAGCACGGGAAGCACGAGAAACTTGCTCATATAATTCATGTTGCTAGGTAACATCGGCTTGAATACCCTGGATCTTATGGTGAACAACAGCCAAGCTATTACCATGGGTGAGTAATAAACAGCAGTACGCCAAATATTTCGTATAAAATATGCCATATCAGCCGGTCGCCGTGGCTATTACTACGAAGGATGAGTATTAATTACTGTTATAAGGAACATAGAAAAACACATTAACAATAAATTGCGAAGTTTCACATGGCCAAACTACAATACGAGTGCGAGAAACGCAGTTGAGTAGGACTGCGGAATAATTTTCACCATCTGTGGCACTTCAACACGCGCCTACATCTTTCTCTTTCCCATTTATTCAGTGCAGGCTAGCAAACCACAGATTTCCTTCCTGTCTTTCCTCTGCTTGTCCTTTTCTGCTGTGTATTGTGTGGCAGGTGCACACAATCCCAACTAATATCGAAACGGTATCGCAGTTAGCTTCACGGCTATACTCTTGCTTTGCACATTCCTCTCCAACTCTAAGCATCGAAAATAACGTTTCAAAACGACTCACATAGAACATCGAGCGAGGCGGCGACGGCCGTAGAGGTTGGCCACGACACGTGGTACACGTGGCAAGGAAAGCTGGAGCCCGTGCAGGTCCCGCGACGCGTTGAGGCTGAGCACACTACGCGTGGTGTACGAGTCCTCCTGCGGAGAGAACTCGACGAACAACTGGCTGGCCCCGGTCATGTTGGTCTCTCCCAGCATCCAGTGCATGTGTCGGACGGCTGGCACGGCACGACGCGCCACGCAACCCGACGTCCACCTCCTCACGCTCTTGGACGGTGACGCGGGAGCCCTCTCGCAGTCGCTCGCCTCCCAGAGTGAGGAACGGTTCCTCAGGGGCGCCTGTGTAAGGACGTGGGGAAGCACGAGTAGTGAAATAACGTGTTAGGAAATTCGAACCTCGTGAGCACTGTTTCATCGCAATCGGCGTCATTATTGTCGCAGACCAATTAAAAATAATTAAGGCGCATTAGAAACAAAAAGGGTAAAGAAGAGTGCTAGATATTTATAAAACAAACAAAAATACCATTATTGTGCCATTTTACGCGGTAGTGAGTTTAGATAGACAGCTGTGCAGAAGTTCAGGATAAGATCAAGGCTTTAAAAGCGAGAGATCTATGCATGTGGGAATACTTGATTGATATGTGGGGTTTAACGTCCCAAAACCACCATATGCTTATGAGAGACGCTGTAGTAGAGGGCTCCGGAAATTTTGACCACTTTGGGTAATTTAACGTGAACCCAAATCTGAGCACACGGGCCTACGACATTTCCGCCTCCATTGGAAATGCAGCCGCCACAGCCGAGATTCGATCCCGCGACCTGCGGGTCATCAGCCGAGTACCTTAGCCACTAGACCGCCGCGGCGGGGTCATGTGCGAATACTTGAACACTTCGAATATTCCGACTGCAAATTAAAGTATTTGAATTCGTTTCGACACGAATTTACATTATTAAAAATTTTGAAGTATTCGAAATGAACGAGTAGGGCGTTATTAAACCGAATCTGATCCTTTGTCAAAATTGTTTCACTGCACTTTGTTTTACTGCATTGTATGAGTGTTCTGGCATGAAAACAATTATAAGTCTGCTCTACCGTGAAGATTAACTTCAGAATTAAAAGAGCATATTTTGCTCTAATAAATTATTGATTTTTAAATGATAAATCCTGGTAAACATCTATAGATGGCATAATAAGTAAAGAAAAATTTAAAAAGTACCATATATTACATGTTATTACTAGCATTACTATGAAATATAAACTCTGCTTATATGCAATTCTGCTAATATAAAAAAATGACATTCGCACAGGCCTCGCTCTAATTTATTTAAGATACACACATTGTGCAGGTCAATTGTGTCTCTGTACGTATATGCTCAGTTTTCTCAGTAATATGTGATGTGTATAGATCGAAACATTACATTCAAAATTATTCAACCAAATAACTATTCACCTCGAAGAACGTAAAATTTAAATTTACTATTCTCACACCTCCAGAAAAACTCTTGAACTTGAGATGTTTCGATGAGTGGTGTAGTGTGCGAGAAGTGGACTAGAGCACTAGTAGAAACGACAAAGTTTCGACCAACGGCCTAGTGTTATGCTGCCTTGGACAAATACAAGACCGCTTGCCAGAACGTTGGCTATAGCGACACCTAAGTTGTTCAAGGATGTTATGCTTCGGTGTTACAGGGTTAACAGAAAACTACGTTGAAATCTGTGGCGTTGAGCAGACTCCAGACAGACACATACATGAACTTACACAGGCTACATGTATTCTCTCTCACAGCATAAAGAGGTATTGGTGAGGGGGCACACCAACTTACATTAAGTGGAATTCACATTAAGTGGAATTCACATTAAGTGGAATCCACAATGAAGAGCCCCACAACATGAGCAACACAGAGCAACAATGGGAGGCACTGTTGTCCAGCTCGACCTTCGATGATCAGCTTAGGCTGATCCACAGGCCGAGAAGATGGCAAGGGCCAGCGAAGCCCTAGAATAGAGGCCCGACCATTTGCAAGGCTTCGCGTTATGCGCAAGTAAAGCTTTTCTCTCTCTTTCTCTTTCTGTGTAGTTTGGTAGCAGTTGAGCATGAGACTGCACCTGAATTAGGAGAAGTGGAATGTTTTTCCGTATGGCGAAAAAACACGATAGGAGCAAAAGACGTCACGCCTGGTAGTGAAACCTTTTCTTCCAAGCAGGCAGACCTCACCAAAGAAACCGGTGCCTTTTAGTCTTCTCTGCGGAACGCATAAAAACGCACCCTCTGCTTCGAAGTTGCTTGTACCGCTTCTTTTAATGTGGGCCGGAGAAATAGTCGTTCAGATTTCCGGTCCCTATTTGGGACTGAGCCGAGTGCGCGAGTGTTCCCCGGGACGCAATAAGAGTATTTTCAATTCCACCGCAGTCGGCAACAGCTCTAAAGCATTTTGTTCAAAACGAAGTCACATATAATTACGTCGAAGTGAATTTGGAAATACACCCAAGTGATTGAAATGCTGCCCTTTGTCCGAACAGATAAGAAAATATCCTACAGAAGAACAGCCTATATCTTGCTGTAAACAGCAAATATACTCTCCAAGTGGTCTTGTCTTTACTAAGCTCTAAGAAAATAAATTGAAACCTTCGTTTTACATGTGTGTAGATACGCTATCAGTGCACGAACGTGACAAGTTTGTATCGAGCACTTCCACGAACCGTTCTCCTCGTTTCGCGACAATAACGCAATTTTCGCTCACATGACGTCGTTGATTGACAAGGGCGTCTGAAGTGATTCCTTCAGTGAGAAAAAAAAAAGCCGCCTTCCCTACGCAGCTAACACGGGTGCCCAATTTTCTCCGCAACCGGAAGGCGGCCACGTGGCACCAAACTCCGGAATTCCGCCAACCTTGTTATACGCACGGAAGTAGTTTACTGCCTTTCAGGAACTTCCTCGAATTTGCGAATAATTCTAAAGGTCTTCCTCCGAACGCCGGCGTTTACGCTCCACCTATAGAGGCTGCTCGGCGGCGGCCATGGTTCTGACAAAAGATGTCCCGCTTGCTTTTTTTTTTTCGCTCGCGGAACACAATGGAGCGTGCTTTCCGATATCTCCTTTCAAGTGCGCGCAGGAGAACTTCTTGGGTTTCTCTTCGGAAAGCAAACGTAAGGGAACAGGCTGTGGGCTTTAATTTATCTCGGGCTCTTCCCAATCAGCCGGCACTGTCGGCTGTTCTTCTTCTTTTTTTTTTTACTACTGCTTTCTTCTCTCGAGAGCTCTGGCTTCGAGATCCATAGGACTGGTACGTATGAACGCGACAAAGAAATCAAAAGATATAAAAAAGCACGCTCTTGCACAAGAAAGACAACTGGCAGTCGAAGCAGAATCGGAGCTGCAGCGCGCATTTATTTGCGCCCTTTCGATTACTGATAGAGTAAACATACGCGTTTATTGGCTGCTTCCGGCTTCGCTGAATATAGCCCTTATTATCTTGATCCAATTAAGTGGGAACGTTGTCTTCCGTCCATTTGCCTCGACTGTCAGGAAAATGACATGTCCCTTTTTCTTCTTACGTACCCCGTGTCACAACGTCACTACTTGAAAAGGAACACAAGAAAACACTAAGAAGACTTTGAGAAATTATTGGCCTCCTGAAAATGGACATGCGTGGTTCCAATGTGCAACTTTCAAGTGATACTTACAGGGTTTCTCGATCTCAGCACTCCTTTCACGACAACTCTGTGAAGATACACTGATTTACGCAACAGTGGGACATCTATGTCTTCTTGCGAGTCTTTCGAGGCTTCACCGAAAAACGAGATGCACACGCGCCATTTTTGTGTGTTCCCACTGTGCTGCCAAAGTAACAACAAAAGTAAGGATTCTTTTTGATCCATTCGTAAGTGGAACAGAGGAGGTGCCCCGCCCTGTGCGCGAAAGCAAAGCACTGAGGTGCTTAGCTTTGAAGACCTAAGTATTTTTTTTCTATTATAAAAATGTGGTGAAAAGCGTATAACTTACGTTTGATATTATGTTCCAGCACACTGTAACATGCTCGCACATTTTCATGTCATGTTGTTTACACATGCTTTATCTCCGGTGTCTTCAAAGTCAGATGTGCATCTGTGTGGGTTTGTCGTTTACAAACGCCTAGCTCTTCACGGTAACGGTTCACTTTCATTTAAACCCACCATGGCGCTTTACCGTTAACATTCAATGGTTCGTATGGCATACTGAGGGTAATCATGCACTATAGACATGTGCAAGAAACGTAATATTTCCAGAAAGTGCACCTAAACAAGATTCCATATTTCAAACCGATGCCGTTTCGTTAGTCCATTAGGGCACTGCCCACGTACGCTGCTGTTGTCAGTTTTGATCCTTGTGCCTACTGCTCTCTGCACAGCAGAGTACGCGGAGAGTTTTACACAACGGTTTCAGTGAGCGACCAATTTAATACACTATTGTATTTGTCGCCATAATGGTGTTGAAATTCACGTGAAGATCGCTAGCAATTCGAATCCACTAACGGGGTGGCACTGGTTTGCTGTAAATCTCTTTGATTTGTTTTAGATATCAAAGTAATTGACAAATATATGCTTAGCAAAGAGCGAAAATTACATAGGAACGTCGTTCTGACACATTGGTCAAATTCATTATTGAACTTTATTTGCATCTTGCCTACTTTGAAGACAAAACGCAATGTAATATCATTAAAGTAAACCGGAGGCCATCAGGGCTTCCGATGTAGAGCTGTCAGGAGTTATATAAAATTGCTCATGGTCAAGCGAACCGCTCGACAGCGAGATCAAACTGCGTATGAAGCCACAGAGAACATACCCGTGACGACCAGTTTGAGCACCTTGGTAACCCTCCTGACGGAGTCATCGTCACCAAACTCTCGGCACTCCCACAGGCCATCGTCAGCCCGTGTCACCTGCGTGATAGTGAGTGCAGCTGTTCCGTCGCGAGAGATGTTCCACTGGCGTCGGCTGACTCCTCCGGCGCCACCCGAGCCCACGTCAAGCACGACGGGGTGGCCATTGCGCATCCACTGCACGCTGCCGCCAGGGGTCTCCAGAAAGCAGGGAATACTCAGACTCTCGCCAGGGTTAACCACCTGTCACGGGGTCAAGAAAAGTAACAAGGCTGTGACTTTCATTTATTTATAGTTTTTATTGGGCATGCACGCATCAAAACGCGCAGTTTCTCTAACGCATGACCTTGCATCCAGTTCTGAATATTCAGGCGGAATCAGAAGTCCTGGTGGTGGCATGCGCGTCTTATGCATAACTTTTCATCAATATCTTTTTTCGTATCGCACTCGCTTACACACGCATGCACAAACACACGCACACACACTCACACTCACGCACGCACGCGCACACAGACACCCACAAAAACTCACAGGGACGCACGCGCAAGACGCACGCGCACCCACACATGCACACATGCGCACGCACGCATAGATGTGAGCACGTACACACATACAGACACACACACACACACACACACACACACAAACACACACACACAAGAGCGCGTGCCCACGCACAGGTGGGGTGGTGGGAAGTGTGGTGTACAAACCAATGACATCTAAAAACCCCACTGGCAGTAGAGCATAATATTATACTAACAATCTGACCCAATTATTCATTTCCAGTTGCGAATTCTCGGTGTTTAACTAAGCGATTCTTTTTTGTTCTTTTTTTCTTTTGTAAATCGTCATATTTAGCGTCATATCATTTCCTCTTGTTTTGCATTCAGTTTGATGACAGCATTGCATAATATTTAGAGCTTGCATTATATTTTGAGGTCGTTTTACATGTCAAGTAATATTATTATTAATTCCTGTATTCTTCGACTGTATTGATAATATTCATGCTTTCGTGTTATGATTGTAAGTGTTAGCTTTGAACTATGTCTCTTTTCGTCAATAGTTCTGTGAAAAATCATTGTACATCCCAACTGCCACACTCTCAAAAGAAAGTAGCAGTATTGTAAATAAATAAATAAATAAATAAATAAATAAATAAATAAATAAATAAATAAATAAATAAATAAATAAATGAACAAATAAATACATAAATAAATAAATAAATTAGTATACTGTGCGAAATATGTGTCACTCATTGCTTCAATTCAAAGCTTACGTCAAATATTATACTAGAAAGCCATAATTTTCAGATTTTGTATACTAGATCCTGTAGTTAGGCTCGTCCACCGAGAGGTTTAACGCCCCTCATAAGTGCTACGATTTTACGACTGAAAACAGCGACAGATAGCAAGACATGCAACAGAGAAAGGCTTTGAGTTGTTTTGGCTATGCACATCAGCTTTTTTAACGTGCGGTGCAGCCGGTGCCAAACCCACGTATTTTGTGTCAGCAGCTGAGCATCGTAACCAATGAGCAATCGTGCCGGATGAGGTTTGATGCTGATAGTTCAACAACGAGTTAACCTTATAGAGCAGAGTATCCCAACAAACTAGGTAGGCTCATGCTATATCGCATTTTAATCACTAATGTCACTTTGCTACATTAATGTAGGAACGTAGGCGTCAATGCAGACGTTTCGTGGAAAAGACACCGAAGAAGAATGACACCAAAGTACTGATGCCAATCCTATGAGAACACCGATAAAGTGCTTCCCGTTCAACCTACTTGCGATGCCAATGCGGATTTTCTATCATGTCGCGAACTTAGGAAAATCTTCGACGAGGTGACCCCGCCCTTATATGCCCCATTGCCGACGAGGAGATAAGCGGTGCAGAGAGGCGTCCAAGTTCTGATTGCCTGTTCCTGGTCCAAGGACCACCTGGCCATAGTTTCCATCGATCAACTCAGTTCAGAAACCTCGGACCCCAAGTGATTTAGGCGCCTTTTCGGCACTTTGTTACTCTACGAATGACGCCGTACAACACAAGAAATAAACCACGTTTTGTTTGTTTTTTGTCTACAAGCGTCTTTCTGCAATGACTTCATAAAAATGTTTTTCAGCGGACAGTCACAGATGACGGCGAACAGAGTGTTCCATTAGGCTCTTGAATAATGGTTCGGTTATTCTTCAATCACAATTATTGACAGGAAGCGAAAATAAAGAGGTGTCGACGGTTCATATAATGGAACAAAAAATAAACATCTCTACTAGCTAATGAATACGCAAATGTTTTTGGAAAGCACAGTGGTCCCGCCATCAACGCCCGCGCCTTTTGGTCTATGTGAGGCGTTCCGTCAGTATGAATCCCTCCAAAAATATATGAGGGAAAAAGTGCACCCAGTAATTTCCAAAATCCGGTACCTTCTCTGGCGGCTCGAAGTTGTTGGCTCCTGAGCCTCCGGGGCCCGGTGAAGCAGTCGTCACCACCGTCAGGCTGGTGTAAATCACAGTGGTCAGCAGTGCTTGCCTTGCTACCAGCGCCAGTGCTAGCAACGAGAAAGTAGAGAACAAAGTTTCAATTATAGCTATCCCATAGGTGCGATCAGAGATCGAGCGTAAAATGGCACCAGTTAGTGCTCGATTTCTCTGACTGTGCACAGATTTAACTCCACCCTTATTCTCTGATTACAATCAGAGCAAACACTGCAGCATCAAAAACACAAGGGAAAAAAATAAAGAGCGGCATTGTTTGAACTTCTCAATCAGTAAGCTAGGAACCATGAAAAAGCACATAATTAGAGCTCTCGCCACAAACTAGTGTTATATAAGTTCGTTCATTGCAAATAACGTCTAAAAGCGATGACAGGAAAACCTACAGAGAGCTCTTCAATCTGTCAGTAAGGATCCTGTTGTGGAAATTTATCTCAGTGATGACGAGCTTGAGTTACTGAAAAAGATCAGTTCGTATAGTGTGTGGTCTTTTTTTGCAATTTCTATGCTGTGCTTCATTGTGTAATTTAATTTTGTGAAGAATGTGCAGCAAGGCTTGTTTCACGATGACAAACTTCGCTTTTTTTCTCTCTTAGCTCTGCGAATTGTGTATTTTGTGCAAGAACCAATAAACTTGCTCTTGGCAGTTAGCATGCCCTAGTAAAGTTCCATTCCTTATCTTTGATTTGCTGTGCTGCTTAGGATGAGTAATTGTACCAACTAGCTTACATCCATACCCTTCGAAGATACCAGTTGGGTTTGAGCATCATTTGACACTTTCTAAATTGTTTTGGAAGTATAGGAAGAAAAACAAAATATGCTCGCCTGAGCATGCGCTGTTATATGTATACTATATCTATACGCAACGCATTCCTTTACTGTGTGCAAGAATAGCTTTCTGCATTTGATTTACGAGCACGACTTTTCTGTTATGTTTTGGCGACTTCATTATTATTCTATAAGCAACATAAAACAGGTAAAATTAAGGGTGGTTAATCTGCTATATGAGATGATTTGCGCAAAGCTTTTGCATGTGCGCGAGTGATTTTTCTCATAGAGCATAAAGTGAATATACTTTCAACATCAAACTAATATAGAATCGCTTCAATGCAAACTTATACCTAACTAAACCTTGAAAACAAACAATGCAAGTGTATTTGTTAGATCATAAAATGAGTGTTCATTGGCAGCAAAATGTTTCCAGTGATGGCAAAGCGTTCACAAAGCGCACCTAGAATTTATTTGGCAAGAATGAAATTAAATACTGTCGTTCTAAAAAATCACAGTTTATTCCACTATATATTGTTCTTCTAGAAAGAAGTTTAAATAGAATATATATAATATTGGTGGAGGAGTGTAAATGTAGTTCTCATTGAAGGAAGAAAGGAAGAGGGGAAGGCAAAAAGTTTAACCAGACCAGCGTCCGGTTTGCTATTATACATTGCCGAAAGGCGACTGAGAGATGAAGAAATAGAGATAGAAAGAAGGGTGCATAAAAAACAACAACGCTGAAATGCAAATATGGAAAGTTGTGCACCTAATCTTTTGGCTTATATTATTTTGTCATATACTTATTTCGATATTATAAATGGATAAAAAACTTCCTCACCAAACCAAGCGCGACGTTGTTTAGATGAATATTAATACCAGTCTCAAGTAACCCGACGCACACACGCACGCTTCACGCTTCTTTCATACACGCACACCCGCACGTCATATATATATATATATATATATATATATATATATATATATATATATATATATATATATATATATATATATATATATATATATATATATATATATAGGGAACTACGACCCTACGACCTTCCTTTCTGTTAAGTTGGGGTGGTTAGAGTAGTTTGCTTCACTGCAAATGACAGCGCTTCATAGAACGATAGCACAAATATTCCGCTCGTAAATTACAGAAACTTTAATTCCCTGCGCAGATACATACTTTTTTTCATTTCATATACAGTCAAAAACAAGCCCGCAATACACGCCGGGCAGATGGAAGTTAACTACCACAACATAATTTTACATAGCCTGCATACATCCTTGAAACCTGCAAGCATGCTTAGTTCGAGGTGTTTAGTGAAATGAACTAGAATATTCAACCGGCATTCCGTTGCACGCTCGTAAATAAGCGACCGATCTATACTTGGAAAAAGAAAATTTATGTGCACCTCTGGCTCTGATAATGGGTGTTCCATTATGGATTTTTTTGCCTCACTTTCACGGACCCCACTCCGAAACATGGTGTGAACGCGGCTGCAACTGAGTGTTCCTTCTCCATGGTGACACCCTCGCCCACCATAGCGGAGCGCGATCATCAGTGGCTGCGTGAGTTCTACGAGTTTCCTTAGCAGGTGAGGCTTAACGACGGCGAGGTGGTAACTAATAGAGGTGCCGCGTGGTGTTTCGAGGAGGGTGCCCCCTCGCTTTTCTTCTTTCTTCACCCTTGTTTCGGCACATTGCCGCTATCGCTCCCCTCTTCTATGCCCAAACTTCGGGCTAAGCAGGTTGAGCCCGGGCTACGCAGACTTGTAGAAGAGGCACAGCTGGACTTAATTCTCCGAGACAGTGTTACGCGGGGCAGGGCACTAGCGATAGTTAAGCCCACGCTAGATCGTGAGGCCAGCATCTCGAGCATTAGCGCGTGTGGAGACAATGATCACAAAATAAGGAAAGGAACCTGGAGATGAACAGAAAATAAAGAAGGGCGGCAGGGTAGTTTTTTGGCGCCCTCAGGGGCCCTTTCTCTGAACCAGAAAGACAAGACCCTGGAGGGGCTTATAAACAAACACGTTTCCAGTGCACCCACGCAGCGATATAATTCGCAACAGCTCGGATGAGAGAGGGGAGCGAGAGTGGGTGTGCGTAAAAGAAGAGGTCTGGCAGTAAATTACTCTGCTTACCAGCACGGAACTGGCAATTAACCGCCGCGGCCTTCCAAACCCCGCGTCTACCTTCCGTGGAGGGGGAGGAGAAGAGGGGGAGGGGGAGTCTCCCGCCATCGATTGCTCGCGCTTGACTTGCGGCCGAGGAGGGAGAAAGAATGAAGAGGAAGCGGCGGCATCGGACATCGTCGCGACAGTCCCCGCTGGACGCGCGAAGGTGAGGAAGAAGGCGAAACGCGAGCAGCTAGCGCGCGAAAACGCGAACACCGTGGAGCGCGCCAGCCGAGTGACGGCTGGGTGAGAACACGGAGCTGGAGCCTGTTAAGGGTTCTCTCCATCATCCACCTTTTCTCGTCCGGGCCTGCCTTACTTTATTGGGTTGCGCGCTCCTTTAGCCCTTCCCGGGACATTATATTCCGGCTGGCTGCACATTTGGCTAGCATCCTCGTCTTGTTTTCATTTCTTTCCTTCGTTCCATCTCATTCCTACCTCCATCTTGCCTTCGTTCCTATCACCATATCTGAGTGTAGTCTAGGCGAAGCAGTTTACCAAGCTCCGTACGTGCATCCTTCCACGGCTTTAATTTATCTCACTCTTTATCTGTTGAGCGAACGTTGGTTTCACCCTACAAAAGGAAAATTAGATGGAAGTTGGAAAAGAACCTGACTCAACGATGATAATAATCTATCTTGTCCTCCCGATTGTTCTCTTCGTCATGGCGTTTCATTTACACTTATTTTTTTGTACTTTGACAAGTAAGTGAGCTAAATGTTCCGAGAAATCTACGTGCAATGTACGAAAGTACCACATACAGTGACCGTGATTTGAAGAAGAGTCTACTGGACGCAAGTTTTTCAGTGTGTTTGGCAAGACTGAAAGTAGCTTGGAATGAATCTGATAACTTAATTTTCTTCCAGTTCGGTGATGTTTTATTCGATTTGAGATTACCTGCAAGCTATATCTTTCTGCGAAGGCAGCAGAAAAGTTTGTGCATCGGAAAGGCACCGTTATTTGAGTCACTTACATGAGTACTATTGCAATAGTAATAACGCGATAAGTTAAAGAGTTCATTTCGCAGAAATTCCGGTGTCCGCGTCAGCGTTGGTGTCGGCGTTGGCGTCGTTGGTTGTGAGAGAAAATCATCATCACATGAGTGAGAACTATGCAAATAAAGTAAACTACAAGAGAAAAGCCCTGGGTCACAGTGGGCGTCGACCCGGGTCGTTTGGCTCTGAGTGGGGATCAAATCCGGGTCGTTTGCGTCGCAAGCGGATGTTCTACCACACAGCCACGCCACAGCTTGTGAATACAGTGAAAATAACTTCCTCTTCTTGAGGAAATGAAGTGAAAGTAACCATCATGCTTGACAAAACACGCGTACTGTATACATGCTTCACGATACACCATGAAATATGGCAGCAATAATGCGTGGTACAAGCAAACATTGCGAGTGGGCGTCAGAACATGCGACTATTATAATGACTTCACAGATTTATACTGGTCACCTACTACAGAACGAACTCACGCTACTGCGCCTGTTTCCTGAAGGCCACGTAGTGGGTGGGGTGTGGAAGTGATAATAAATGAAAAGAAGAGAAAAGTGAGCCCCGTAATTGTCTCTCAGGGGGAGCACACCTCAACAGTAGCTCATGAGCGATGGGGGTAGAGAAGGGAATAAAAGGATAGGAATAAAAAGTAAAGAGGTGGAGAGAGAGAGGAAGGAGAGAGCGAGGCGCAGGGACAGGGAGCGACAGAAGTAAGGAGAATAAAGGAAAGATGGACACGTTTGCAGGAGTCTGAGGACGGGCCACCACTGGCGAGAGCTCTTGTCGGCAACAGGAGATGGCGTAGGGCTAATTCAGTCGGCCAGAGCTACGCTGTCGTCGTCGTAGGAGACCAGTCTCTGGAGGTGGCGTAGGACCAACCCAGTCGGCAAGAGCTGCACTGTCGTCGGAGATCGCGAGGGCACAACCGGTCGGTACGGAATCCAGCGAGCGAGCCAGAGTGGGTGCATAGGAAGTTCGATAAGCTTTCATGCACTAAGTGTTTGAAGTACGCACTAACAATAAGACATCGCTATCGCATTAAACGTTTAAAGGCGAAGCTTTAGGGTCACATAGTTTTTTAACAAAGGTATAGGCACTGCAATTTACTGCCACAACTTGGTGATTTAGTGCCACCTTTATATTAATCCACTAGAACAACACACATCACGTTCATAGCACACTAGCAAACAGATTTCTTTATATAGTTCCTATTGGTTAGCAAACTAAGCTCTCGCCATTGAC